ATGATTTTCAAGAAGTAAGTGCAAAGAATTGTCGCTTTTCTTGACGTGCGGTTACACGATTCTAAGCGCGCTAATTCTGCTAACTTCTAAAGGCTACAATTTGTTTCCGAAAACATTGGATACTCTGACTTCCCAAAGCTAAAATAGGGTTACGATGCATCTCCGTCAACTCTTAGCAAATCTGTTATTCAGAGTTTAGCATATATTTGACATCAAGCATTCTCTGGCGTTTTTCCGTCCACATGTGAGTGAGTTTTGTATCGTATACTGAACGATGACTTTGGTATTAACATGTCTTATCTTTTGCTTCCGTCTAGAACCGATCATTTGAAAGAACATTCGAAGAAGGTACAAAAACCTAGATCAAACCGTTTACATCTGGTGTTCCATTTCTCGCACCGACTGGTTAATTACTTGAATTCTCAACCGGAACGCGTAATATCAGCACCGTCTGTTAATATGTTCGAAACGAGGTTGGACCTCCACAGTATTACATACTGCAAGGATTAATATAGGTCAATAGACCTCCTATCCTTATTACTGAAGACTGGTGTTGCATATAACTCTAAAAAATGTTATTAATCTAGGTTTTTAGAGACTGCGGGTCTGTAAGTCGAGTTAAATGTCTCTAATTTTGACTTATAAAAGTTAATGAAGCTGAAAATATATAATTCAACATAATATGCTTTCAGGAACATTATTCACAGATAAGGAACTCGCAACAGAAATTTCATTGAGTAATTTTACCGCATCATCATTTTAGCATTGAAATATTCAGCATCATGTGATATGCAAAAGATGCTATTTAAAAAAGAAATGGTATTAAAATTTTTTGACATAGCAAGAATCATCATTTGAGATATTATTTAATGACGAATTTGTGACTTGTTGTTTGAATCAGTTTTGTATGGTCGCTTCCGGCTGTCAGTTTCGAAATGTCAAGGGTTTATGTTGGTCGTATACCTCCTCGGTGCTGCGAGAGGGATATTGAACGATTCTTTAAGGGCTACGGACGATTAAGAGACATCGTTCTAAAGAATGGATATGGTTTTGTGGAGTTTGATAATGAAAAAGATGCGGATGATGCCGTCTATGACCTCCATGGAAGAGACTTGCGAGGTGAACGGTTGATCGTTGAGCATGCTCGCCTTCCTCCTGGCACCAGAGGCGGCAGCAGGAGGGCCGGTGGGGGTGGCGGCGGAGGTGGTTTTTGCAGTAATCGCGATCGGTAAGCTTCATAGCTAAACTTTCATCTGTTACAGTAGGTACGGTCCACCAACCAGGACGGAGTATCGTGTTATTGTTGAAAATCTCTCAACGCGTGTGAGCTGGCAGGTAAGGGATTGTTGTTTGATTGTTTGTAAGAACTGCAAGAAGTAACTAATTGCTTGTTATCTCGAATTCAGTTACCGCTCGTTGACGTTCGGTCGTTTCGGGTGGCGTAGGACGCGTAGGATTGGTCGTTTTCCATGCCATGGTCAGTCGCCCAGGGTTGTTTCTGGTCGCGCCGTTCAACGGTCGTCCGGCCGAGCATGTAACGTGGTTTCGTACTGTGGTCAGATCAAAAACGCGAGGTAAATTACTCGCGCGTTTTTAAGTACTAGGCTAGCTTAACCCAAATTAGTAGTATTTGTTAGTCTGTTATCCCGAGCAAGGTTTTTCAGTTATTCATTCTTTTGTACAGGATCTGAAAGATTTGATGCGTAAGGCTGGAGAAGTTACTTATGCGGATGCCCACAAGTCAGCTAAGAACGACGGGTAAGTTGTACAGTTTTCCGTAACTCCCATCCTAGTATCGTCGAGTTTGCTGCCTACTGTGATATGAAAGAAGCAATTGAGAAGTTTGATGGCTACGAGCTTTATGGACGCAAGCTACGTGTATACGAAGACCGACCGGGCCACAGGTCAAGATCTAGTTCTTATAGATCGCGATCTAATAGTCGTCATTCTCATCGTTCACGTAGTCGAGGCTCTCATCGCAGGCAGAAGTCAGAAGTCCTAGGCATCGACATGATAGATCGCGTTCAAGTGATAGACGAAGGTCCGAATCCGGCAACGGTTCGCACAGACGCTCAAGAGAAAACTCCAACGACCTACGATCTAGGAGTCCGTCATGCCGTTCCCGGACAAACCGTTCCAACGCAAGATCCATTTCTCATCACAGCAAAGAGCGCTCAGTGGTAAGTCAAGCTCTCATCGACCTTTATTGTCTTTTAGGATGTTTGTTCTCGTTCTCCAAGCTGCAATGGTAGAGAGAATAGCATAAAAAATGATCTGGATCGACGATCGAGGTCACGTTCTGCCTCACATTCACATTCTGGAAGTAGATCATGTTCAGTGGAATCAAGGTCTCCTGGTCGTTCGCGTACACACTCTCGGTCCGCATCACGATCTCGTTCAATGTCTCATTGTAGTGAGTCCGGAACACCAAGACGTTCGGACGAAGAAATGGACGGTAGGAGCAACTGTGACCATGAGATTCGAGAAGGTGATTATGATGAGTAATCGCATTTAATGTAGACTCCAAGTCATTGTTATTTTACACGCATACTATTCTGCATAAAGCAGCTTTTTCACACCCAGTGGTTAAGTATTTTGAACTTTATTTTGGGATAGATATGCAATGTAGGTTGACATCTTAGGGTTTTCCCTGTAATATCATGCTTGCATTTCTTTTATTGCGCTAAGCTGTGTAGTCTCATTCTACTGCTTTGAGGATGCCACGCATCGGACCAGTGACATTCTCGTCTCCCCGTTCACGGTAACAGCTTCACCGCCATTCGTGATTGACAGGCGTCTGTCAGGTTCGCTTGAACCCAACGTTTTTGATACTAGTGATTATTTAGATTTGGGGTTGATCTTCAGTGCTGAATAACACGCCAGGATTGGCTACCGAACCAAACATCCAGCAACTGCCTGAGAACACGTGTGTTCAATCAATTAAGAACTCTGCGGACTGCCAAGGTTGCTGCTTTAAGTCTCAGCCCCAATCCGAATGAATTCGCCCATTGAAGTCAATGGCCTAGTGTTCATTTCACGGTCGCTGCAGTTACCAAATGATTCTTCGATGTATCCAAGGGCTTAGTTGCGTTTGTCCGCACCTTTCAGCGGAGTCTGTGTATGTGGCTCTGAGTTGAGCATTTAAGGACTTTATCTGCCGCGTTGAAAAACGACAAGATTTCTCGCGGTATGAGGTGCAATTGGTTGTGTATTGGATACAGTAGCTTTAACAGAGTGACTGGAATCGAGTGGTTTCCGGTGTACGATTTGGAAGGAGTGTCGTTGGTGAAACATCCTAATAATCGTGCGAGCTACAACCGGTCTTGGCTTAATTTGTGTTGATGAATAGCACTTAAGCAGGCTACAACTGATTATTAGTCTAACAGAATGAAGGATCATTGTTAAATCACAATCTTCCGTTTGATCGCGCGTACTCTTGTAGATGCTTCACGAAAAGTATTTAACAATGTGTTTGCGTATCACATCAGTTTTCTACGTTGGTATGTAACAAAGGCGCTTCTACTCAATAATAACTGATTTGAGCTATAGGAAAGTCATTGATCTTAAGTGACAGCGTGTGTTGTGTCGTAATGTGGACGTTATCATGTACAAAAAGCGAGGGCTATTGACGGAAAACTAGCAGCCTGGAGGCATCCATTTAAGATCACAAACCACATAGGACTGCACAAACGCAGATCCCTGATGCTGCGTAATTCTCCTGTGAGGGAGTACGTCCTGCGAATGTAGTGATATACCGCCAACTATGCTTGACAGCCACTGAAGGCTGTGCAACGTCTTGAACAATACAGACTTATGTCTTTTCTTAAGATTAGGGTATAGCGCTCGAAACACGGCCCCGATTCGTTGTGGGGCGCCTTTACTCACAGTTTATCTCTTCTGACTTTCCGTCGTATGAATCCTCGCCTCCAACCATACAGGCTTCGAATATCATGTTAGGTCCCAGCTGTCAGTAAGGTAACAGGTTATGGAGATTCATGACGTCTCATGAGTAGTCCGAAGCAATTTAGTATTCCTTACCAGCCGAAGTTTTCCTTCTGTCTCGTTAGTGGTTAGTATGCACAGTATGAATTTTTATTACTAGGTCGACATCTGAGCCTTACTATGTATTGTCTTGACAAGATACGTAGAATTACCGGATAAGTATAATACTCGTCCAGGATAAATAGGTTGGTTCAAGTTAGACTCAGTGTACTGTACATATGCAGAATTCATAGGTCTGCCGTAAACTTTGGCTTACAATAAAAGTTACCTGGTCTCTATACCTCAGTACAACATAACTTACGATAATTTGTGCAATAAGGACTACTTTCACACTAGTCTTAATAATCAGTAAAAATATCGTTGTTAGTATCCAATTGGATGTTCTTACTTATCGACTGAAGTAGTCATCGACTTTTGTAGAACTTCTATTCTTGTCGGAATCGACAGCTGAAACTACTGGATAACTGCTCGAAATCGGATGCAGTGACACATAAACGTTTATATATATTATAATTTCATATATCATTGTTTTTATCGAGTTGTATTTTATATTTAGTCTTTTAAAGATAATGTCAGTTACAACACTAGATTTACTCATTTGTTAGGTATTTTGCTGGATTCTCGTTGATTCGCTGATGTCATGGGATACTTTGAAATGTATAGACATTTCTCTCTAATCGTACATTGTATATAACTTATTAATATACTAGTATTCACTCGAGCAGTTGGTCCATTATGAGTAAATCCGTATTTCGGTTATCCCCTGTTTCCTTATCATAAAGACCTAGACAAATTTAGATGGGATTAACATTAGTGAAAAAGATGAAAAACAAACTAGAAATCTAAAACGATATAGAACATTCATCACCAGAATAACTGTAATATTTTCTAAATAGTACTTTTTTCAAAAAAAATAAGTTACGAAAACTACAAAATGCTAAGAAATTTTGAAGTCAGACAAATTTCGCTGGCTTGTGCAGCATCATGAACCAAACCGACTAAATTCTGTTTCCTTCGTTTCCATTTATCTAAAAACGGAAATATAGGAGATTAGTAATTACAAGAGATGAAGGGATTGGCAGCGGTGATATTTTGGTGAGACAAACAGCAGAATAAGTAAAATCTTGTTGAATTTCCACAATTAAACCATGCTCAATAAGTACTAGGATAAATGGAATACACAGAAAACCTTGAGAGTAATTAACTGAATAAACTTTAATGTCTATGTGATAATAAGATAACATAAAATCAACTTACTAGATTAAACCATGTGTTTAATTGCATTGTCATATGCTTATTTGAACCACTCAATGCAAGTAAACGTAGAAAACCACCAATAATAACTGTTATTCGTTGAAGTGAGAAATTAGATCCAACTGTTTGTTTCGAAAACATGGGACTTACTAATTTACTCAGTTCGAAGAAAATAGCTTCAATCTCCGCATCTGGGAATGGCCATGAAATAAGGAAGCAAGTTAATTTACTAAGAAAGTTTTCCACCTTCCTTGAAAGAGACTGTTTATGACTTAATAACCTCAATGATATTCGATCAACAAGAGAAGATAGAAGACAGTGAAGCATGCAGCCTTGTTTGACAGGGTTTGAAAAGAACCATTTCATGCTTTCATTTACGTTACTAGATGATTGAATGAAAATGAGTAAAAATAAGGCATAATCAAGAGACTCATTTTCACTATGATAGTTAATAAATTCAAGCAGTTGTGTCAAAGTAGTAGGAGACAAAAGTTCATAATCAAGAACCAAACGAGAAGCGAGGTGGATAGTCTGTAAGGAGTTTGAAGAAGAAACTATGAGTTGTTTAATACTATTTATAAGACGTGCACAACAAAGTGAGTTAAAGGTGTCACCCGCGAAGAAGTGCATGACAAAGATGCGTCAGATACTAACTGTTGAGACGTATGGGTTGGACAAGAAGCCAATGTTGACAGACGTAGTAAGGTAGAGCGCAGCTCAATAAGTGATAATTTAGGCCGCAGTATCAGACCACATTGACAACGTAAAATACAACGAGCCGCACGCCATCTTGCGGAAACATACTGGTCTGGAGTGCCACTGAAAACAAAGAACTCGAGAACTGGGAGCAATTCATGTTTCAATTCCATCTGCTGAAGAAGAAGCTCTGCTAACATGAAATCTTCCTGTTTAGGTTCCGACTGGTTGGATTCTTGGTTTTCGAGTATATTGACACTGTTGAATTGTGGCTGACACATAGTTGCATTAAAGCTGATATCGTCTGGAGAAAATTCACCACACTCGGCAGTCATATCTAATAATAAGCTACGATTTGTTATGGAACTTTCGTTCAGATCCCTGTTCATAAATATGCAAGACGGAAGTTTCAATCGATTGACCATGATATGCTTGGCTACATCCAAAAGATCTATATGAGCTAATTCCGCAATATGAGGCAAAGCTTTTATTACTCGTCGTCTTAGAAATAATTCGGATATAGGTAGTCTTGATCTACAGTTCCAAGTCACTGATGATTGTAGTTCCGATGCCGCTTTATGTAGTAAATTCAATATCAGTTCAAATGGACTGCAACAAAAAAAAAGTTTATATTAGGTTAAGATTGAACTTCAAAATGGAGTAACTTCAAGAATCAGTTTGAAGTAAATAGATAAAAAGTGAAAATATAAGACTTACTGGATGGAATGCTAGTGAATTATTTGTTAATAGGAACAGAAACAGAGTTGAAATCACATGTTTATGAAAAAGAATTATTTCTTATAATTCTATCTGCTTCAAAGTTGTTCATATAAAATGTTGATCACTACAATCTAAATTATTCTAGATAGTATTACCATAACTGATACTTCATATAACTTGTGATTTTAAAAATTGCTATTTGTTTTCTTATATCAGTAATAAAAGTCTAAAATAATAATACACCAAGTTAATTGCCGTTGACAAAGGTACATCTGTAAGGATGGAACAGTTAGTAAGATGCATTTAAAAAGTTGCTATTGTTTTCAGTCAATAAACTAAGATTATGGTAAATTTTTAATTTTCAGGTGGGCTGAATTTTACAAAATATCTAAATGAGCGGTTTATACTTACGTTTCTCAAAAAATATCTGGAAAGTACAATAAATACGAATGTTATTTATGCACTATATACCATGATTTGTATTCATTAGGGAATTCATTTCTTCAGTAAAGAAAGTTCAACAATTTCGAGAACAATATATTCAGGGATCTATTATTCAATCAGTTTGATAATCCGGATAGATTTTTTAAATTCAGTATAATATGAATTAGACGTTATGGGAAAAAAACGATAAAAGAAGCTAAGGGTTTGATGACTTTCCTGGATAAAAAAATTCAGCTGATTTATTCATCGAAATAAAAACTAATATTTCATCATTCTAGTCTACATGTACAGCATGAAATAACCTAACTAGATAGATAATGAGTCTAACGTCAGCGAAAAGTATTTAAAGAACTTCATATGTGAAGGCCATTCACCTATTGAAATGCTTATTTACTTCCTCCCAATCGGCTAGATGGTGCTCGTAAAGGCAACCTTCCATTGCGAATTGTTTATGACTTGTCTCAGCTTTTTCCAAAGCAACTCGAGCCAATCGAATATTTTCTCTTAGTTCCTTTGGACCTTCATCTGAATCATAATCCAGTGACTCGTCGTTAGAGCATGCTTCAGGATCTGAACACGACAATTTTTTCGAGCGTACAAAAAACGTGCTTCATTGTCAGCTCTAAATAGGTAGGTTTTGGCGAGATCCCGAGCTAATCTTAATATTAATAACCGATGTGGCCCATAAATAACTCGACGTGCAAGACCTGAAAATAAAAACAACATATTTTATAAATAATACAAGCACATAAAACAAATGGAGTACAAATTTCACGTTATTCTCATTATCGAATCATTACTGGAATAACGATGAATTATTTAACATAATTATTATGATAAGGAATATTGAATGACATTAAGGCTGAACAATAATAATATAACAATAATATACCAGCTAACAATGAATAGACGTTAAGTGTTGATTTCACAGATTCCAAAAGACTATTAAGTTGATTAAAAAGAGGTTCAATGAGAATTTGACAAGGTAGTGCTCTGTCCCAGCCAACCGATCGGGGAACTGACAACTCATCAGTTGCATAATTTGAAGTAGCCATAGGCAAAAGTCCAACAACAGTATACTGATTAGCTAAATTTTGTGCAGCAGTAATTTTGATCAAATCTGATGAATTCCACTAAATGAATATTCAAAAAAGTATTGAAAATAGTCGATTATTCAAATGATTATTACATATCAATAAATGAACATCAGAATACCGTTCACGAAACATTAATCTGCATAGATAATTTAATAAGGTAAGTCAGTAATAATTAAGGGGGAAATTAATGAAATATAAAGAATAATTCTCTCAAAAAACGATACACACAATAAGATGTTTACAGAATTACAATATAAATTAATAACTTATTTCTTCTTAAAAAAAGAAGACTTGGACACTTGTTATCAGTTGAATGACAAGTTTAAATCCTTCAACACCTATCCATCTACCAACCTACAAGGCAGATACATTTAATTGTCGACAAAAACTTAAAACAAGAATGGTAAATAATACTTCACCTTATTGTGGGAACGAATTATAGAATAAACAGACATTCATGAGAGACAGATGAAATACTTTGATATTATTGATAAGAACATTATTCTTATTTTAAAACAGCACTAATGTTTACAAATCAAGACATTTCGACATGTAACACGATATACACCAAATGAGTTGTTGAACAATTTTAAAGCTGAACAGTACAACAATATTCATGTGCAACTCTATTATAAAATATACTACTTACAGACAGAACAATTTGATGTAGTCATGTACTAATAAATCGAACAAAAATGATATGATAATGATTATGTGCAGTAGATTAAATAATTAAGTAATGATCACACATACCTCCATACTCTGATTTACACGAAGCCAAAAGTTTACATTAGACACAGTAATTTCTGGTCCTAATAAACAATAATAAAATGAAATATAAAATCATATAAATAGAAGAGTATCAACTAGTGAAATGTAAATGTTGAAAAGATGATCTAGTTCATTGTGATGTTTTGGTGTCCTACGTTAATTTGATTGAAATGAAAATTTATTTTATTAAATTAAACAATAATATCCTGTGATAAACCTAAAAATTTGGAAGATAAACGATAGAATAGAGGATTTGATAATTTAAAATATTTACGAAATGAGTCATAAATATGATAAATAAAATGTTTATACTTATTTAAGAAAATATGTCTAGTTAATTCTACAATAGAAAAGAAAATACCACAAGGTGATAGAGTTACAATGAGTCAAGTAAAAAATTATGCGAATATAAAATGAGGTATACACTTAATCGTAATGTAAAAAATAAAAGCATTTTATGAAATTACAAATTTCATAGTTTGGAAATTTAAGGACAATAAAGTAGCACGAAATCTTGTATTTGTTAAAGATAAAAAGTAAATTCATGGAGACATTGCCGGTGAATATAAGAAACATCATTTGAAGATTATAACTACTATTTATAGTTCTCGTGAGAAATCAACGAGAGTATTGTTGAACACTTTAAATTAAGCTCATGAACAGATAATAGGTGTTGGTCCGGCCATTCTTGTTTTATTTTTTTAAAAACACTACTCAAAGGCAACTACAATCAATATAGAGTGTGCAGTCCCGTAAAAACAAAACAGGAACAGTTTTCAAATATGAGATTTTGATAATATTGATACATTGGATTTATGGCTAATACCAATTGCAATCGACAAAAACAATACAGCACGAATATGCACCAATTGATTGATAAGGATGGTAGGAAGTGGGAAAATTCGCACAGTGATAGGCAACGCAGAACCTCCCGACCGTTGTTGCTACCTTGACGTGGTGGTCGGGCTTGCCTATCGTGATGAAGCAACCAAGCTATACTGGCTGGAAAACTGTTCCGCAAAGTCCTAGCATGCCAGACAGGTCGGTTGAAGAGCGGTAAGACTAAAAGCAACAAACCCAAGGTCCGAAGGCGAAGTCGTACTGCTGACTGTACAGAGGTGTGACAGCAGTAGGGTGTTTCCTTCAGACAACCAGCATGACAGCGATGCTGCCTTCCCACAAGGAGGGGTGGGGTTAGAAAAGGTCGACCCTAAAAATGCACACCTCGCCTTATCCCACGGATATCCATCTCCGGCGGTAAGGTCTCAACAAGTAAGGAGCTAACACAAAAATTACCCATAACAAGGTCGTGTGTGACCGACCTCAAGCAGTTGTCCCTTGGGCACTGCGGTCACGCTCTCAGGTCACTAAGACCACCTTTAATCCAATTTCCTTTTCAGGTACCTCCAGAAGAACCCTTCCACGGAGTGGGCAACCGGGAAGTGATAACCGCCCTCATACTTCTAACAGCACTCAAGTCCACTGTATTCATAATCAACCTCCTTCTTCAATTCCTATTATTCCTCCTACATCGACTTTCAACTCTGTATTTCCTCTCTCGGCTTCCACCTCAAGTGTCACCGTAACCAACGATTCTAGTGCGCAAAACACTGTCCCAGGTCTACTGAAACCTCGCTCCAAACTACACATTGGAGCCTTCAACGTACGCACCCTATGTCAAATCGGTCAGCAGGCTTCCTTGGCTAAAACCCTAGAGTCTCTTTCCATTGATGTATGCTGTGTCTCCGAAACACGCATACAGGATTCCAGTGTGGTCATTCACTTGACCTCACCTCGGCAAGACGGAGAGCCAACGAGATACACTCTCCGTGTGTCTGGTGACCCGATGGCAAGTTCTCGTGGACTGGCAGGTGTAGGCATAGCACTAAGCATGAGGGCCGAACAAGCACTGCTAGAGTGGATCCCCGTCAACAGTCGTCTATGTGCTGTTCGGTTGAACGGCTCCGTAAGAACTCGGAAGGATAGGGACACACGTCGTTGCCTTTTCGTCGTTTCTGCCTACGCTCCCACTGACTGCAGCTCAGATGATGTGAAAGATGAATTTTACAGAAAGCTGTCCGAACTTCTGCAGAAAGCTAAACGCTCAGACATAGTACTCATAGGGGGTGACTTTAATGCTCAGATAGGTAGTTTAAACAGCAGTGACATCTGTTAGTGACTTAAACCACAGAGTTACAAGGAACCAGTGGATTTCTTCAAGGTCTGTCACACTGATGGATTCTCGCAAACTCGTCCCATCAGGTTCTGAACATGATGAAGAGCGTAAACAAATCAGATCTAGGTTAAGAAAAAGTCTAAGGAACGACCGTGAGCAGTGGTGGGTAACGAAAGCAAAAGAGATGGAAAAGGCGGCGACTATAGGGAACACAAGACAGCTTTACAGACTAATAAAAGAAACTGGAACTAATAAGTCAAGTGTAAGTGAGATTATTTCGGAAAAAGATGATACTCTCATCTGCTCCCAGTCCAGACGTTTAGAACGATGGGCGGAACATTTTAGAGAACAGTTCAGCTGGCCTTCAGCTACTCTACAACTACCCTCCATTCCCAGACAAAGTGAATGGAACATTGAAGTAGGTCCCCCAACTCTTGCTGAAGTTGAGAAGGCTATAGTTAATCTGAAACGAGGAAGGGCAGCTGGTCCAGATGGACTGGCTCCAGAAGTCTTTAAGGATGGTGGTCCAATTTTAGCGACTAGGTTGACTAATATTTTGGCTAAAATCTGGGAGTTAGACGTTATCCCATCTGACTGGTCGCAATCACTTATCGTCCCAATATATAAGAAAGGGTCAAAATCATCCTGTGACAACCACAGAGGGATTAGTTTAACAAACATAGTATCTAAAATACTGGCCTCGATAATTATCAAACGCCTAACTAAGACTCGTGAACTACAAACACGAGAGAACCAAGCTGGCTTTAGACCTGGTCGTGGCTGCATCGACCACATATTCACCATTCGTCAGGTTCTAGAACACAGGCATACCTATCGGCGTCCGACGATGGTGGTCTTTCTTGACTTAAAAGCAGCATTTGACTCTGTAGACCGCGAGACTCTGTGGCAGTGTCTGTCATTGAAAGGCGTACCTCAGAAGTACATAAACCTTGTGAAGGCTCTTTACTCGAACACTACTAGTCGAGTCAGGGCTTATGGCGAACTGTCATCTACCTTTACAACCTCAAGTGGTGTCCGTCAAGGCTGCCCACTTTCTCCATTTTTGTTTAACTTCATCATAGACCTATTGATGGAAATAACACTCTCGTCGACTGAATTCTCGGGTATTGATCTCCTTCCAGGAGGTCCACTTATCGACTTAGAATATGCAGATGACATAGTCCTGTTTGGTGAAGACGCTGACAAAATGCAGAGTCTTCTGGTAGCACTAAGCAACAATGCCAGAATGTTTGGGATGCGCTTCTCTCCCTCTAAATGCAAGTTGTTGCTTCAGGACTGGTCTGCGTCAACACCTGAACTAAGGATAGGGAGTGAAGTAGTCGAACGTGTTGACAACTTCACTTATCTTGGAAGTCTGATCAGCCCTAATGGGTTGGTGTCTGACGAAATCTCAGCACGGATTCGTAAAGCTCGTTTGGCTTTTGCCAACTTACGTCACCTTTGGCGGAGGCGAGATATCCGTCTATCAATAAAAGGACGAGTATACTGCGCGGCTGTCCGTTCTGTTTTAATTTACGGCAGCGAAACATGGCCCTTAAGAGTAGAAGACACCCGTAAGCTACTAGTATTTCTCTACAGATGCCTTAGAAATATTGCTGGCATCTGCTGGGATCACCGGGTAAGTAATAGTGAGGTTAGACGCAGGGTATTAGGGAATGATGGTAAATCAGTTGATGAGGTTATGAATCTTCATCGACTGAGATGGTTGGGCCACGTATTACGTATGCCTGAACACCGATTACCGCGACGTGCAATGCTAACCGGTGTAGGGGATGGTTGGAAGAAAGTTAGGGGCGGCCAAACCAAAACGTGGCATCAGTGCCTGAAGTCACTAACTTCTAGTCTGAGCCATGTTGGTAGATGCAGACTACTTGGTTGGGGTCCGCGTGACTTTCGTAACCAATGGTTGGAGACCCTTGGTGACATGGCTCAGAATCGATCACAATGGCGTCGGTGTATACACTCTCTGTCTTCTCTTAAACTAAGAGATTAAGATCACTTCACATCTTTCTTTCTACGAACTAATTCTTTCTTCCTATACTATATCCTTATTGCAATCTTTCTCCTATATATTACCACCTTTGACCTAACCACTCCTATGAATCCAGTGTTCATCTTGCTGTGCTAATGAGGTATGGCAACCTGGGCCGATGCATACATGTGCCTGGTCCTACGTTGTAGCTGACTGACGGATATAGTATCTAAAATACTAGCCTCGATAATTATCAGACGCCTAACTAAGGCTTGTGAACTGCAAACACGAGAGAATCAAGCTGGCTTAAGACCTGGTCGTGGCTGCATCGACCATATATTCACCATTCGTCAGGTTCTAAATCATAGGCATACTTATCGGCGTCCAATAATGGTGGTGACTCGGTAGACCGCGAGATTCTGTGACAGTGTCTGTCATTGAAAGGCGTACCCCAGAAGTACATAAACCTTGTAAAGGCTCTTTACTCGAACACTACTAGTCGAGTCAGAGCTTATGGCGAACTGTCATCTGCTTTTGCAACCTCAAGTGGTGTCCGTCAAGGCTGTCCACTTTCTCCATTTTTGTTTAACTTCATCATAGACCTATTGATGAAAATAACATTCTCGTCTACTGAATTCTCGGGTATTGATCTCCTTCCAGGAGGTCCACTTATCGACTTAGAATACGCGGATGATATATTCCTGTTTGGTGAAGACGCTGATAGAATGCAGAGTCTTTTAGTAGCACTAAGCAACAACGCCAGAATGTTTGGAATGCGTTTCTCTCCCTCTAAATGCAAGTTGTTGCTTCAGGACTGGTCTGCGTCAACACCTAAACTAAGGATGGGGAGTGAAGTAGTCGAACGCGTTGACAACTTCACTTATCTTGGAAGTCTGATCAGCCCTAACGGGTTAGTGTCTGACGAAATCTCAGCACGGATTCGAAAAGCTCGTTTGGCTTTTGCCAACCTACGTCACCTATAGAGAAGGCGAGATAGCCGTCTATCAATAAAAGGACGAGTATACTGCGCGGCAGTCCGTTCTGTTTTAATTTACGGCAGCGAAACATGGCCATTAAGAGTAGACTATACTCGTAAGCTACTAGAAATATTGCTGGCGTCTGCTGGGATCACCGGGTAAGTAAACGTGAGGTTAGATGCAGGGTATTAGGGAATGATGGTAAATCAGTTGATGAGATTGTGAATCTTCATCGACTGAGATGGTTGGGTCACGTGTTGCGTACGCCTGAACACCGATTACCACGACGTGCAATGCTAACCGGTGTTGGAGATGGTTGGAAGAAAGTTAGGGGAGGCCAAACCAAAACGTGGCATCAGTGCTTGAAGTCACTAACTTCTAGTCTGAACCATGTTGGTAGATGCAGACTACTTGGTTGGGGTCCGCGTGACTATCGTAACCAATGGTTGGAGACTCTGGGTGACATGGCTCAGAATCGATCACAATGGCCTCGGTGTATACACTCTCTGTCTTCCCTTAAACTGAGAGATTAAAATCACTTCATATCTTTCTTTCTACGAACTAATTCTTTCTTCCTATACTATATCCTTATTGCAATCTTTCTCCTATATATTACCACCTCTGAATTAACTACTTTTATGAATCCGGTGTCCATCTTGTTGTGTTAATGAGGTATGGCAACTTGGACCGATGCATATATGTGCCCGGTCCTATGTTGTATCTGACTTACTGACTGAATGTAGAGCCTGATACAAGCCTACATGGGCACAAGTTGTCACATCATATCAACACAGTAAGATGAAGTTATCAAGAAAAATACCAAAATGGTAGTCGCATTAGTCATAGAGAATATAATTCCAGAAGAAATAATTAATTTGCACGATAAAATGTGTTAAGAAATTTTAAAACTCGGAACCCAGAATGAATGCATATGCGCTACTGGAACGGATTCTTACATTTATCAACCATTGTTCACGGCTATTGAGCAGACCCTAAACAAACAATTTGAACTGCATTAACAAGGTTCAATGTAACAGACAATGGTTCCGTGGACAGATCCCACATCTTGATTCGGAGAAAGTAAAATGATTATTATACTTTAAAAATTAGGCTGTAGTAGAATACACACAATCTAAATCAAAATGTGTTTAATCATAACATTTAATGTCGAGCAAATCGACACGTACATAAATGTTTATTATACTTAAGAAGTACACTCACCTATAATTTTAATTGGTAATGAATCACTCAACAATTGATGATAAGGCATTCTTATATTGCTTATGTGATGATGTCCTTCACTTTTGGAAAAATTAGTTGTCTGAAGGTAGCAAGAAAACCAAGTAAACATTTCATACATAACGATATATATTATGTCCAAGTTGATAAAGATCTGTGTACGAGCACTTTTAATATATTTTTAGCTTCATATTAAGCCTATTTTCAACAAGCATCGCAAATATATACATCTCTGAACTTAAAGCTGTGGAGATTATTCAATCTAAAGTTAGTTGATATTTAGAAAAGAACGACTAAAAACCAGTTAAAAATGGATAAAGGATTTCGATTCTTCTTCAAATATTTGCTATCAAAACAACAATCATATATTCAGAGACTGGCTCCAAGATGAATTCTTGAAATTCAAGAGGAAAAACGTGATTGATGTTGACTTTGAATTATGTTATTGCTAGCAAAGGATAATAGTCACTACGAGAACCATCATACTATAACCATATCTTAATATAATTTGCTATTTGCTTTATATCAACCAAGCAACCTGCTTGACACAACATGACCTTGAGCAACAAATGTTACTTTTAAAATAGCTTGGCGAAGAGGTCATGATAGGCGCAAGTTACCTAAGGTAGACTATACAGTAGATTATACGTATCAGTTGAAATCTAGTAAAATAACTTAGTAAGATGATGAAATAATTGTTATTAATTTAATTCGAAGTCAGGTGCTATGAAATACAAAAACTCAATCAGGATTTACTTCATTTCCAATAGTAGCAGAAACACGTTCTAGTTCAAAATCTCTAGGAGGGTGAGATCGTTTGTAAGTACGTAGAAAGTCGAGTAATTGAAGTTGCTTTAAAGAGTAAAAGAAAACAGAGATAAAACATATTGATTAGTACTTCCGAAAACAATAATATGCAAAAAAAATTCACGGTGTAGAAAGTAAAGTATCAGTTCCTTCATTGAATGAATATTGTAGCAACCATGTTTGAATAGTAATCAGTAGTATTTCTGTTGACACTAATTTGTTTGTAACACTTACATAGCATGCATTTAATTATCAAGCATTAAGTCTATACGAAAAAAGTTTTCACCGTTTTACTTTAAGGGTGCAAGATATAGTTACTGAAGATGGCGATGATGAGAACACTGCAGTTATATGATGATCATTCATTTCGTAGGGTCTGTGTGATACTTCTAAGCAAAAGGTTAAGCACACAGTTGCACATAGAGATGAATAATGATCTACTTTCGTAAATAAAACGTGTATACATTAGTAAGCAGTGGAATTGGAAATCAGTGTTATCGATAACTTTTAATTCGGGATAAATAAATTTCATGAGAAAATAAGTTACAAACTGACTTTATTTGTGATCATCTTTGAACAACAAGTACGAATCCATGAGAATAAGAAGCTCAAACGCTCATAATCATAAGGTGATGTACTGGCATAAAACGATTGAAGTAAATTAGCCAATTCATTCAATGAATGTTGTGGATTATCAGATTGTTTACCTGATCTGAATAATAATCTAAGTATTGTATGAGCGCGAGATAAGCAGATTTTCTGATAACGTCTTTTAAAAAAGAGAGGTAGACAGAGAAGAAAAAACAGTCGTCATAATTGGTGCACGAACAAAAACATTGAGATTGTATCATAACAAAATAGAGTACTATGAACTAGTAATTATATCTTGATAAGGAGGAGGGGTTTTAAAAAGTAAAATATTTGTTCAATTGTACGCCATTCAAATATTCTATTTTAAAAATGTGATTTTGCAATGTCATGTATATCTTGCTTTGTCTTAATTCAAACTAATATTGGCGCATTTAACTGAGATTCTTTATGTTCCAGGTAGATAACCTAAAGCTATTACAAGTTTATCACACACTTGCACAAATCATTTTTCTGCATACTTTACTACCTTCATTTAGTTATGTATGTTAAGCTACTGACCTAGTATTATGACTCTCAGAAATTATTCTGACCATAATTGAGTTTGTTCATTGATTATCTCATCTGTTTATAATACTAAGTAATATTGATGCAAACGTATGAAATCCAAATCTGGATGTGAGTGCACCGAGGGTGATTTCTAATTAAAGTAACAAAAATGTAGTGATTATTATTAGTGAAATACAGCAAGGAATAAACTTAAAAAAGGTGAAATAACATACATGAAACAATTCACTTCAGATTCATTGATTACATTTTCAGATTTTGGCAAAAACATATTTTCATTATTACTAAGTCCTACGAATGAGAAATCCCGTCTTCACCTAAAGCAGAATCAGCACAACTATTATGTGGTTTAAATAAAACATTTAAATGTTTAATTAGATAAGGTTTTAATGGTATATTGAAATCTTTGGAAAATCTAGCAATCAATCTAATTGAAGGTAAAGATCGTTCAGTATTGTCCAATCTTTTTGCCATTGATTCATTACTCTGATGGTCACTGGGTACAAGGTAGACACTTTGTTCTTTGAGCGATGGTACCATGCGGCATAACTTGTCAAGTATATGTTGTAATGATGAATGATCTATTCCATGTGTAATGATACGACTAAAGTTTAGCTTGATTTAAAAAGAATGAGAAATAATTAAATAATGATTTTTAACAAAATGTAAAAAGAAGTTTCAACTATCATATACTAAGTAAAATAGTAGAGAACAAGTCGTGCTATCTACAACATTACTGACTCACAATAGCGAAGTATATAAGGACGAATATCATAAGCCACAATGAGAGGATCAAGAGTTAACAGGAACAAATTGGGTCATCTTGATCGGCTCCAAATAACACGAAACATACGTTTCAGTATTGGAAACTATTATACAGAATTTATCGTCGGCAAATATGAAGTTACAGTCTGTAATGAAATACGAGTTCACTGTACATTTGATATTGCTTAAAGGCATAATAAATATACGTTTCTGTAACAATCTAACATGCATGATTTGTAAACACATATTAGCGAATGCCAGAGTTATTTTCATGTATTAAAATTACCTAAACAAAAGAATAATTACAGATTGTAAAATCATTTAAGCTGAAAGGTGAAGATAATACTTGTCTAAGGAAAAATGATACAAGATGATATATTAGGAAGAGATGTAAATTGGAAGAACAAAACAGCACTGGTGATTAGTTAACAGTTAATTTTAAAAGACCAAAAGTTTCATTAAAAATGGTTATTACAACAAGACACTAATAATAAACCTATTTAATGACAAGAGCTTTTAAGGTAATTGCATGTTAGTATTTATCAGTTATGAAGAATACAAGCTTATACAGGTATGAGGTTCCACAAGAATTGGGACCGATAGTTAATCAACATTCATATTACCGAATACAACGAAAGATAATGTTAAACAATAAAAGCAACCACAAGCAGTTAAATGAAACGACTTATGTACACACTTTATACGGCTTCAAGACAATATGCCAACTCCACATTTTACCCATTGTTTGACTCAATTCTAATAGGTTTATATCACGTTTACACGTTATTTGAGAGAACATAAATATAATGTTTGCTACAGCCTAATAATAGAAACGAGAAAACACAGAAAACGGCAATTAAACATTGCGACATATAACAAGCTATATATATATATATATATATATATATATATATATATATATATATATATATATATATACGTCAAACTGATGAAAATAATAGACACACATACTATGCACGAAATTATCATTATAAGTGGTTTTTCAAACATTGAAGTAAATATTATTTATAAGGATTTTTATTTTCTCATTTGTTAATATCAACAACTGCAGCTGATCAATATCTGTTGAAACATGCGTGTCTTCAGTTATATGCCTTAAATAACATAATTCATTCACTTTAGTTTGATATTTCAAGACAGCATTTCAAACATCACAATTTGATTGACTTTTTAGAATGCGAACTCAACATATGATCGCATGAAATCACTGTAGACAAGAAACAAAGCAATTAAATTATTCATTAAATGAATTTTTGAGAGACGAGAAAAAAACAAAAGAAATTAAACTGAAAAATTCTTGCCATAATTTTTTTCGGTGCATGTTTGTTATGTGCAACAAAATTACGAACTACATTTGTCGCTTCTTCAATAGGCAAAGCAAGAGCTAATGATAAGGCTAATGGTTGATCCAAATACTTCCCATCTGATGGATTTAATATCGAGTTCAAACTGGAAGATAAGCACTTATTAAATAGATTGAAACAGTTGTTAACTGCATCATTATTGGGTTCTTGAAGTCCTAAGTCCTGTGAGAGATTTGGAAAACAATAAGCTTTAATTAATGAATCATTGGAGAAAAACAAGCGTATTTAAAAAAAAAATGAAATTAATACATCCAAATGAATAAACTGAGAAGACTGTGTTACATATCAGAATTGCTTTCTATTTGTATATACACAGTATTGAGTCTTATAATTCAAATGAATTGATTCTATTGATAATAAAAAATTATCAAAGAAATGATACTTTTTAGATGAAACTCCATTTTTGATTGTTCAATCGAAAGTCATATATTCAATCGAGTTACGTGTGTATAAAAGATAAGTTAATGTTTAGTTGTTCATTTTCGAATGAGAATTAAAACGATTTCTGTTTTCCTTACCATCATAACATGATATTGGAATGGATTCGGTTTGGACAAGATTGTATACATACATATTTGAATATATTTGAATAGAGACATACTTCGAAACCAAATAGTTACTTGATTTTTAAAAATTGTAAATTGCATTTTGAGAGTATTTCAAGATGTATATGTGTCTACTGAGACCTAGAATTATACTAAATGTATCACGGATTTCGAATTATTATCATCGTTGAAACTGAAAGCTATGTCTTTTTAAGCAAAGATGGAAAGTGGCTAGTAGTGGGATCTAGGATGCCCGTTTCGTCTTATTTGGGACTCGTCAGATGGATGTACCTGAGTCCTAGAGTTGAAGTTCACTTCGGGACTCGAACACAGTACCATTCGCTTCAAACACCATCGCGTTAGCCACTTAGCTACTGAGTCCTGATAGCCACCTGTTTGTGCAATGGGGTGAAGTTTAAATTCACTTGGTGTCGTTTTATTTGAAAACTGTATCATTACAAGTAATTGAGGTATACCAACAATTTTGCCTTACTTTGGACATGAGTCATTGAAGTAACTTTTAATAAATGCAAAATTAAAACAAACTCGATTTATTTAATTTCTAGGTCAACTATATTTAAAAAGCTTAAATGAAACAGATAAGCCACAATCACAATTTTCTCTGATCACCAATTACTTTCAATAATCAATTGTCCTATTATCCTAATAGTATGATGAGAGCTAACTTACATTGCTAATACCATAATTGTTGTAATTATATGACCTGAAAGTTCATTAACGATTTCATTTCAATCTCGTCAAACTAAAGCCAAAATAATTAATCTTCAAAAACATAAGTGAACTAAATTAATTTAAACAAGACAGAGAGAACAGATAGTTTATCAGGAATTATGTGATATGTAAAACTATTGATTGTTAATATAAACTAGACAGAATATGGCCAGCAGTGGACACACATTTCATCCCACTTGGGACTTATCAACTAGGTGTACCTGGATTTCAGTGTTGATGTTGACTCCGTTACTCGAACTCAGTGCTGTACGCTTTAAACGTAATCGTATTATCCACCTAGTTACTGAGTTCAGATAACCACTAATTTGAGCAACGGGTATGAGGTTTTCTCAATTTGAAGTGGTTTAGATTATTCTGTTAATGGTACTTTTCACTGAAATATGATCAGTCTTGGTTGGTATATGGGCACCATTGTGAGGATTTCCTCGCTATAGCCAACAGGACACAAGGTGACATCGAAGTAATCTGTAGAGGATGACCGTATGCCAAACAAGACTGATATTTCAGTCAAAAATACCAGCAGACGAATAGTCCAAATCATTTTACAACGAATTACTGATTGTGAGTTCATATTTTACAAAACATGAAATTAAGCGAATGGAATTTTTCAGCGAATTTACTATCAAACTGTACAATCGTAAATATGTAAAATTCTAAATGTTAATCATGTCAGGAACTATGAACAATGAATAAATATGGTGATGTAATAGAAGTAATACTTAAGATTTCGTATATGAAAACAGATACCATTGATGAACTTTGTGTTTCTAACATTTAACGGGAATTATATATATGAACTGTAATATTAACGTTAAAGAACAATCGAAGTAGCTATAATATCACCGGTAAATATAAGACAAATTCAAGTAAAACAATAAATTACAATAATACTGTTCGAATAATAGTATTAAAAACATATACACATACGAAAATAAATGAATCGGACCAAATGTTTAGAGTTACACATGATCTAATCAAATTCATGATGCCAATTAGAAGGGTATGTGATCCAGTTAAGCGTAAACCAAATTCTGAAGACCAACTTGAAGCGATTTTCATACCTTCTTCTAAAATTCGATGAAGAATATCTGTGTTATCAGTTCTCGCAGTTTTTTGTTCTTCTTTGTTCTCAGTGATGTCATCTTAAAGGTGAAGACAGAAAATTTGATTTTATGATGATAATTTAACCCTTAATAAGAACTGATTAAAGCTAATCAATATGATATCTCTCTCTTTACGATCAATCATGCTGTTACTGATAGTGTTACATAAATAAATCCTGATATTAACAAAAAGATAGCAAAGCAAGGTTTCCCATCGTCTATTCTACATGAAATGAAAAATAAAGTACAGATTTTCAGAAAGTAAACATAACATGCCTGTTCAGTGAGATCCAAAGAATAAAAAGACAGGATATACAGTGCACTTTATAGTGCAACAATACTCTGAATAGTGGTATAACAGGCCATGTATGAAAAGATAAAGACAATCTAGAAACTTTCATAAACGAGATCAATTCAAGTATAAATGAATGTGATGAAAAGCATTTTTGATCAGCTTTTTACATATTTAAGATAGATTTTGATATTTAATTGGTGGTTATGTAATTGCGATGTAATATATATTGGCTTTCAATACAAACATTATCACCCCCAATAGTCTTGACTGTCTATATGATTTGAAATTACATTCATAATATTCATAGGCTATTTTCAAAGGAAATCACAATGAACTCAATTTTTTTAGACAAACACTGAGGTACATAAATCAAAAATTTATAAAATCATAAGACTACATGTTATAATTACTTAAATAGACAGATTGGCTGTTGGGAAATGATTTCTTTACTATAAATATGTTAAGAATTAGTCTAGAAAAATAGATTACAATTGTGGAATTTTTAAATCATGAGCGCAAACTCAGATTCAAATAGACAGAATCCAATTATTGGTGGTTGAGAGTTAAGGCCAATAAAAATAATTGAATAAATATCTATACAACTTTTATTTGTAATAATCATCAATGAAAAAATTGCTAAATTCATTTACTGTTTGCTTTAATATCTATTTATTCGTGTCAGTGATAGAATCGCGATAGACCGAAATCTGAATTGAAAGATACTTCATTCATCGAGTTGTTTAGCAGAATATGTCACGGTTTTTTATAACATAACAATTTCACTTCGACTAAGTCGTTAAAGTCGAAAATTTATTAAAAGTTCTGTTCTACATGTGTATCGTTTTGTTCTTAAACATGTTCTTCTAAGAAGACTGAAGGTAATAAGAGTGAGGTTAAGTTCATATCTGAAATAATCATGTTAAGTTCAATATTCCATACTTTACAACTCAATAAAATTATACCAATTTGATTCAAAAAAACAGAAAAGTAATGTTTCAAAACAAAATTCACAAATATTTTAATGTCTGATTATTGAAGTCTCAGAAACAGACTATATATATAAAATCACACGTTGAAGAATATAGAGCTTACCACTTTTGTTATTGTCATTATGTGAATAATGACGCGTAAACCATTTCAATAAATTTGTAAGGTATTGTAAAGAATCAGTAAAATGATCCGATTGCAATTTTGAATGAACCATGTCAGTGGTAGTTTGTTCACGATACAACGAAGTATAAAATACGCATTCCAGAGGATCATTATCATAAGATTTTGATGACTGTTTGTTCGTTTTTGTTTTTAAAATAGAAGAAATAATACAACGATTAGTCGTGAAAGTAAATTTAAAAAATAGTGTGGTGAAATCGAGAAATGAAAATCAATGTTGTTCATAAATATATATGTACATGTTTCGTTGAGCTGCGTGACTTTCGTTATTCTGGACAACGCTTAAGAGTATAGGATTCAGATCAATTAGAAATCAACGGGCACGTCGACATAGACCCAACCTACGAATCCATAGGGAATTGGTCAATCGGCCAAAAGGTTAGTCGGCATAGGTAGTCAACATACATACGAGGACAAATGAAGAAACAAAATGCAGGGAGATAGCCATTTACATATGAGGTCATCAGAACGAACTGACTTAATACTTCAGGAATAACTGAAAAGTACACTTCTACATGAAGTAGCGTGGGAGATGTTATCACGAAAGACAATGAAACTTCGCAATTAGGTCATCTAGCTCAGAGAACACAAACCTTAATCATTTCAACACATTTATACATACTGCACTAGTCGGTCAGTCAGCTACAACGTAGGACCAGGCACATATATGCATCGGTCCAAGTTGCCATACCTCATTAACACAACAAGATGGACACCGGATTCATAAAAGTAGTTAATTCAGAGGTGGTAACATATAAGAGAAATATTGCAATGAGGATATAGTACAGGAAGAAAGAATTAGTTCGTAGAAAGAAAGATATGAAGTGATTTTAATCTCTCAGTTTAAGGGAAGACAGAGAGTGTATACACCGAGGCCATTGTGATCGATTCTGAGCCATGTCACCCAGAGTCTCCAACCATTGGTTACGATAGTCACGCGGACCCCAACCAAGTAGTCTGCATCTACCAACATGGCTCAGACTAGAAGTTAGTGACTTCAAGCACTGATGCCACGTTTTGGTTTGGCCTCCCCTAACTTTCTTCCAACCATCTCCAACACCGGTTAGCATTGCACGTCGTGGTAATCGGTGTTCAGGCGTACGCAACACGTGACCCAACCATCTCAGTCGATGAAGATTCACAATCTCATCAACTGATTTACCATCATTCCCTAATACCCTGCATCTAACCTCACGTTTACTTACCCGGTGATCCCAGCAGACGCCAGCAATATTTCTAGTAGCTTACGAGTATAGTCTACTCTTAATGGCCATGTTTCGCTGCCGTAAATTAAAACAGAACGGACTGCCGCGCAGTATACTCGTCCTTTTATTGATAGACGGATATCTCGCCTTCTCCATAGGTGACGTAGGTTGGCAAAAGCCAAGCGAGCTTTTCGAATCCGTGCTGAGATTTCGTCAGACACTAACCCATTAGGGCTGATCAGACTTCCAAGATAAGTGAAGTTGTCAACGCGTTCGACTACTTCACTCCCTATCCTTAGTTTAGGTGTTGACGCAGACCAGTCCTGAAGCAACAACTTGCATTTAGAGGGAGAGAAGCGCATTCCAAACATTCTGGCATTGTTGCTTAGTGCTACTAAAAGACTCTGCATTCTATCAGCGTCTTCACCAAACAGGACTATATCATCTGCGTATTCTAAGTCGATAAGTGGACCTCCTGGAAGGAGATCAATACCCGAGAATTCAGTAGACGAGAATGTTATTTTCATCAATAGGTCTATGATGAAGTTAAACAAAAATGGAGAAAGTGGACAGCCTTGACGGACACCACTTGAGGTTGCAAAAGCAGATGACAGTTCGCCATAAGCTCTGACTCGACTAGTAGTGTTCGAGTAAAGAGCCTTTACAAGGTTTATGTACTTCTGGGGTACGCCTTTCAATGACAGACACTGTCACAGAATCTCGCGGTCTACCGAGTCACCACCATTATTGGACGCCGATAAGTATGCCTATGATTTAGAACCTGACGAATGGTGAATATATGGTCGATGCAGCCACGACCAGGTCTTAAGCCAGCTTGATTCTCTCGTGTTTGCAGTTCACAAGTCTTAGTTAGGCGTCTGATAATTATCGAGGCTAGTATTTTAGATACTATATTAGTTAAACTAATCCCTCTATGGTTGTCACAGGATGATTTTAACCCTCTCTTATATATTGGGACGATAAGTGATTGTGACCAGTCAGATGGAATAACGTCTAATTCCCAGATCTTAGCTAAAATATTAGTCAACCTAATCGCTAAAATTGAACCACCATCCTTAAAGACCTCTGGAGCCAAACCATCTGGACCAGCTGCTCTTCCTCGTTTCAGATTAACTATAGCCTTTTTAACTTCAGCTAGAGTTGGGGGACCTACTTCAATGTTCCATTCACACTGTCTGGGAATGGAGGGTAGTTGTAGAGTAGCTGAAGGCCAGCTGAACTTTCTCTAAATGTTCCGCCCATCGTTCTAAACGTCTGGACTGAGAGCAGATGGGTGTCGTCTTTTTCCGAAATAGTCTGGCTTACACTTGACTTATTAATTCCAGTTTCTTTTATTAGTCTGTAGAGCTGTCTTGTGTTCCCTATAGCCGCCGCCTTTTCCATCTCTTTTGCTTTCGTTGCCCACCACTGCTCACGGTCGTTCCTTAGACTTTTGCTTAACCTAGATCTGATTTGTTGTCGCTCTTCATCGTGTTTAGAGCCTGATGGGATGAGTTAACGAGAATCCATCAGTGCAATAGACCTAGAGGAAATCCATTGGTTCTTTGTAACCCTGTGGTTTAAATCACTGATAATGTCACTACTGCACTAAGATTTTTATGAATAATACACATAATTTACATCTCAAATGTATTGCAGGCAGTCATAATAATGAACAAATATGTCACAAAGCGTCCAAAATACTGTCTTTAAAATGTGGGATGTATTTCATTGGACAGAATTTATAATTTTATTTCAGCTACAAAGCCTAAAATTTTCACATTCAACATGAGTAAAGTGTAATGTTTTTTAAGATTGACCTTAAACACATCATTTTCTTCCTAAATTAAAAGAAACAAACCAGAGACAGAACAGTTTTGTGCAAAAGTAACCACCAAGAGAAATGAAATATTATTTGCTCGTCTTATCATCTATAGTTGAAGTATTAAGAGAAAAGACAAGCGAATTAGCTAAATAGTGCCGAAATTATTCTATCCAGGTAGACTAGTCATAGAAAAAATAACCCTTTTGACTTATTGTCTTTTTTATGTAATTTCGTTTATTTTTAAAAACCAATACATATTTTCATAACCAAAATTTGTACCGTTTAATTTTTCAACTCCTTTTTAAAAGTTACAATTATTTAATTATGGCAACGTAAACCAATGAATAATCCGAAAGTAAGATTAAACAGATGCATAAAGCTACTTTATTTTCAGTATTTCTCCTGGCTGCTCTCACAGTCAGTGATGAAAGCTTTATATTCACGTTGTAATGATCTATATAAACTATGCAAATATATAGACACACATTGATATCAATACACATTATTCAAGTAACGTTGTTACTAATTGTAGATAAGTCATAAAAACACTTTTGGCTGTCAATGTATAGTCTTTACTGAAAATATATAGTTTGAAATCAAACGATAAGTTTTCATCACATTATAAATTATTACTTAATATACTATAACTTAAAGAAAACACGTATACACACAGCATGCAAATTTATCTTACTTGATATGCACGATTAATTTGTTCGAAAACATTAGTGAATGCATGAACAACTAGACGAAGCGCTTGAAATTCATTTGTTAAAGCTAATGTAACAAAACAAATTCACATTCGTGATAAGTAATTCATATGAAAAAAGTCGAAAAGTAAAAAGATAGACGAGCAAATGTAAACGTAATTTAATAATTAGGGGGCGGTGGTTCACTAAAAAGGGTTTGAAAAATATTTTACGTGTGAAGACTAAAAATTTACATAACGCAGTAAAGAGGGTTCCAAATCTGAGACACAATAATTCACATTTGAGCGTTTTAAACATTAGACTACATGCTCAAAAAAATTACTGTTCCCTAGAAAGTTATTTACTTTTATCTTATGGTTATTGTTAGAGTATACTTCATCAAATATAGGAAAAACTGGGACAAAGAAGATAAATTTGTTTGAAAACCTGAAACAAATAACAAAGAGACAACTGTTAGCTAACTGTAGATAGTAAGTAATTTCCATACAATATTGACTAACAACTACTTTTCACTACATTAAGAATAAGAGGAGTGAATAGTATTTACTGCTTATTATCAATTTTATGTAAAACTCGATACCTGACAAATTATACGAAAACCATCTGCTGAATATCCTAAAGTAATAGACAAATTAGTGAGGTAATAGTTTCTGCTTTTAAATGCTCATTAAGAGAAGTATTTGCAACAATGGGGAAGTTGCAAACATCAATAAATATGACAGGGAAAGATGTAGGTTTAATTTCCGAATATAAACGTCAACCTCTTTAACGTAGTTATAACATGAAAAGTAAAGGATGTACAGAGTTGTTGTGTAGACTTTTATTTACAGTCTAAAATAATACAAAAAATGTCATGATGTCAACTCCTTAAGTGTAAGGACAGACCTAAAAACGTGATTTAAAAAAAGCGATCATTACTAAAGATAAGCATAATATGTGATTATGCTATACTATCACAATTAATTAAAGTGACCTTATTTCACTTTAAGATAAGAAAGTTAAACGAGTAAATATGTTCAAATTGTTTGAAATATATGGCATAAATATACTAATAAATTATTTCAATTAAGCTTCGTCATTTTATTACGCCACTCAAATTTAGAAAATAGACTAAACATTTCCAGTGATAGATTAGAGTGGAACAAAGAGATCTTATATGACAGGAAATGATGCAGAAACATTACAATAACGGCAAAAAATCAGAAGGGGTTTTGTGGATATTATAGTAATCCTAATATTTGAGATTATGAGTCAATTGAAGCTAGACCACCATGTAAAATCCTGGATGAGCACTGCTGAGTCCCACAGTAGGACGAAACGGCCAGGTTTCCCATGGTGGTCTAGCTTCAATTGACTCATAATCTCAACTATTAAAAACAACAACACGAAACTTAATGATTTCAGCTAATTCATTACTGACAATTATAACTTACAATCAGATACAAATAAACCATACTTTAAATACGCTACTCTTATCTGAACTACAAAAACCAAATCGTATATGGATACATCATTTACAAATGCCTATACAACAGCATTTCATTTTAGTCCCTTGGAAAGTCCATTTAACTTTACAACGAATTGTCAGTCAACCAGAATCTTAGACATTTACGTTTGTTTCATGAACTACAAGTTTATGAGAAGAAAATTTAGTCAAAGTTCGTAAAGTATTTAATTAGTGAGTATATTGATAAATAAAACAAAGGACAATTATGTGGCCAAATATGAGAAATAATCCAATGTATAACATCTAACATAACAACAATACATCAAACAAATAACCAGATAAAAATTGATATCAAATGTCACATACCAAACATACGACAAATACACTTTTGTTCAACAACAGGACTTAAATGATCTTGTCCACCAGCCCATAATAATAAGGATGAAAATGTAGATAAAATTGTCGGAATAATGCTAACGATTGATTTACGAATGCTTATTTCATCAAGTTGTACTGATTTTACAATTTTCATTAAAAATGGAAATATATGCAATACATAGAGTTCAATGATACAACCTAAACGCGCAAGTGGTCGATTCCAAACGCAACGACAATAACAACAAGTTGGCACTAAATAACAATATGTTGAAGAAATCTTGACTAATTCACTTTTTGTTTTTCCAAGAGAACTATGCAAACGTGTTTGATGAACTGTAAAAAAAAAGAAACAGAACGTATATAGTATATCAGTTTATTACAGTCGAAAATTAAATTATTCAAATAAAACAAACTTACTATTGATCAATATTTCCGTCATTTTAATTAACAATGATTGAATCTGGAACGTTTTTGTAATGAATAAATTATGATCATTTGTTAAATTTAATTGTGAACGTGATTCAGATGAAGAACAAATAGAAGAACATAATGATGAAAACCATTGCCAAGTTATAAGTTCTTCTCGTATTCCATAGGGAAGATCTGGTAGTAGAAAATGATAACTAGAACGTAATTTTACAGGAAGATTAAATAAGTTATCAATTTCCATAGATTCATTTGAAGAATACACCTGTTCTATGTAGAGTTTTGTTAGACGCCTTATTATACATAATCGATCAGTTAATAAACCAAATACACATTTATCATTAGAAAAAAGTTCAAAAAGAATTGTTATTTCTGGCTCGGTCGAATTATTTTCATCCGAAGGTGAAGTTACATATAATTTGGTAAACTGCATTAGATGACGCCAACTCATTTGCGTACAATTCTTGACATTTTCAATCGAGTTTAAAGTAGCTCTCATGCTAGCCAACGATAACCACAGATCAACAATTAAGGAACGCTAGAGACAAAAAACAATTGATAAGAAATTATATTGAATGTGTTTATAGACGATAAAACTTGGCGTGCTACGAAAGTCTGTACTTTTAAATATTCATAGTTGGTAATGTTGAATCGTACTTTGAACAGTCAGTCGATTATAAGCAATGAAGTACCTGATATATATATATATATATATATATATATATATATATATATATATATATATCAATCCAAGTTGTCGTACCATATTAAGACACCAAGAAAAATCCCAGAGTAGTAGTGGTAACATTATCAATGGTAGCAGAAAAGATGAGGTATAAAAAAATTAAGATTTCGAGATTCAGCTTCTAAAGACGAGTGAATGCACTTGAACCAGTCTAAACGATTGTGAGCCATGAAATCTCAAGTTTATACAAACAACTGGTTACGGTAATCACTCAGACTCTAACCAGATATTCTACACCTATTAACATGGCTCAGTCCAATTCTCGATGACTTTTAAATACTGCTGTACTAATATAACGAGAACATGAAGAACCTATAAAGATAAGCTAAAGAAACGTATAAGCGAAGATGGATGAAAGGCTAGCACTGGAACCCGGGATGCGCGTTTCGTCCTATTTGGGACTCGTCAGATGGATGTACCTGCATCTCAGAATTAATGTTCACTCCGGGGCTTGAACCAAGTACCATTTGCTTCAAACGCCATCGCGTTAGCCACTTAGCTACTGAGTCCTGATAACCACCTACTTGTATCTTTCCAAATAGGACGAAACGCGGGTCCTGGATTCCACTGCTAGCCACTATCTATCTTTGCTTATAAAAGCTTGTGAACTAAGGCAATATCGAGGCATACGCACAGTATGCACATATGCCAATAACAGACTGATCAATTGCAGTCTTAAACCCCAATGGGTAGATACAGGCAAAACAATACCAAGTGAATTTAAAGAAACGTATGTTTATTTATTTAAAAGTTGGGTTATTTAGTAGTGTTAGTAAGCTATAAGCTATAAATATGGCATCGTTCATATATAGAATCTGTATTTATTCGATAATTAATTACGATATCTTTATATTCCTCTAATTGTAAGCTTATTTTTAACCCATTAGCCACCAACAGATTAATGTTAATTAACCATAAACATTTTATTCATATTTGTACCACAAATGCAGTTTACATAGTGGTTTGATTATTTTTGTAGCATGTTATTATGTTGTACTTTATGCTTATATAGTCACGTGAGTTTTAAAGACTGAATAATAATGGTTAGTGATGTGTAAATGCCTCGTCTGCCTGGAGTTTTGATTGGTAGATTAGGGAACAGATTGGAATGTTGTGTGGGCTATCGATCATTTTAACACACACATTAACTGCGTTAGTGGACTCATGTAACCCATGCTAACTGAATCTGTTTTACTCATCTTTATTGCTTATGAACTCCACTTTGTTTGTTTTTTTATTTCAGGTGTTTATGTATTTCATCATAACAAGCACTTTTGCATTAATATTTAAAGTTGGTAAAAAAATTGGCACTTGCTCGTGCAAAATGACGTTTTTTTAAAGCAAAGTATTGTATTATGATAGTAAATATCAATTCATAATGTGGCTTTCAAGCATTTATTTTGTTAAGAAACAGTTTTTATGTTAAAAGGTCATATATAACTGTATCAGTATTAATTTAGATCTACGTTGAAATAATTATGCAGCCTAATTTTATACAGATATCCGCATCATGTTATGATTATTTTTTTTGAGAAATAAGTGTAATAATGTTATGCAAGTTACTAAGTTACCTGAAATGGAATAAGAACATCTCCATGTTTTAATAGTTGTTTCATCGAACGAAAAGTTAAACGAATCAACCAATCCTTTATAAATGTAAACTGCGATGTATATGCTTTTTCTAATTTACCAGATCGGTTGAAAAAATCATATGTTTCACTGACAGTGAAATTTAAATGAATAATGAAAAACGAAATACGACTTTCATAATCATCTGGAAAACTAGTGATCTCTAATTCTTTTGATTGGATAACCTTGAAAAGTGCTAATTCCATGTATAACTGTGCAAATAATAGAGGCCATTGTAACTGATCAAGTAATTTTTGAGCTACAATTGTAGCATCACGATACACGGGATCACTTCGAGTTAGCTGTGGATTAATAAAAGGTGTATTTGTCCCGAAAGGACCTTCATCAGACCGTAAAATACGAGAAATAGCCTGATCAGCAAGCCACAAGGAATTAGTGTAACCAACATCGCTGAGACTGAACTCTTTTAGTTCATACCTGAAAAAAAGCAGATGAAGATATAGATGTAATTTCGTTATGAGTGGTCATTTTTACAGAAAATCATTAAAATATAGTATTCAGTATAGAGGACTGGTAAATTACATATAAAATGTTCTAATCATAAGCAATCACCTAGTAAATATTTCATGAAGACGGGCAATGTTGCAAAGACGCTCCAGCTTGTTCATTTTGTGAGTTAATCCATCAACATATTGTGAACAGGAACCTTGAATGCGAGCCTGACCAAGAACACTCTCAGTTAGTGCAATTAGATCATCAGACCACGGTAGAGGTGCGACTGAAGCCAAATCAAGTACAACTTTCATTCGACATGAAGGTACTGTTATCCAACTAGCGACCAAACAAGCTTGCTGAGCAAGAACATGAGGATCTTGGTTTAAGTTAGTGTTCTTGTGTGATTGTTTACATTTAGGAGATTTAGGCCACTCTGTAGGACAATCATCATCTAAAATAGATGAATGGATAGCCGTTCGAATTCGATTAATCAGATCACACGAGTAACCTTGAAAGAATGTTTGGTAATCGATGTTACGATCCTGAAATTCGTAATATAAAAAGCCATAACACAACAAGATTTATATGGTATACATTTATAATTGTAATTGAATAATCTGAAGCGATGGAATTAGATTAAGCTTGTGAAAACCATATCTAATAAACACAACTAAAATCTGTAATATTGTAGTGCTTCTAAAACACTTGTAATGCATCTACATTCTTACATGCGTACCTGCTGCTTAAATTATGAAACAAAGAAATATTTTGCTAAATAAATTGTCAATTCGTCTAACATACTGTACTTCTCACTCCCACATCTATATGTTAACTTTGTCGATCAACATTACAAACTTATGTAAACACCGGTAAAAAGAAATATACACAGTTACGAAGTAAACGTAACAACAATGCACATTAAAATGGTTTACTATTGATCAAATTAAAGAAATGTGAAATTGGTTAAAGGAAAAGGACAGTCTGGAATCTTACAATGCAGTTCAAATGTTTTGACTTTAACAGTTTATGGTAATGGAGAGAGATAATTGACGACGAGGGAAAAAATAGTAGGGTAAATAAGTAGCACTACAGTAAATAAACTTATTTTATTTATTTGAACACATAGATATTGGTACAAGGAGGCACTAAATACATATGCACCACACAAATCTCATTTGATTTGTGTGAGGGCTGTGATACTGCCCAGGTGCCCAAACCGAAGCAGATGCTTTTCTTAGGTGGCAACACCCCGAGCCTTCGACCTAAAGGTTTGATCCATAAGGCAGTGGAGTATTGTAAGGAGATGCAGTCCCATGATAGCCGATGACCAGCGATTGGTTTATACGCCATTTGTTCCATCAGGATGCTGGAGCCCATGTGCAGTATTGGTTTGGAATAAGGGTTTTCCAACTCCCCTAGGTGGACTCTCCATGTCCACCGACCTGGTTAAAGCGCCGAACATTCGCTTACTGTCCTCTCAAGTTCGTAAACAACACCCTCGCCACGAGAAGGCAGTGAGTAGGACTTCCCTGGAAGTGGCTATATACGCGTGGCCATGTGCGAGCATTTCGAGAGGGAGAGCTGACTTTCCCAGGGGCATTTGGAACTAAAACCAAGAAGTGAAGCTTCACAAATGTGACCAATTTTAGAGACGTTTAAACGGGTATCTTACAGATTCAATTCAAAAAGCCTAGGTGACTCCATATTACTTGAATTAGCAATCGAAATTTTCATAGTATGGTTTTTACTATCGCATGACCACTGGTATACCGTTATAATCAATCCATGATTGCAACTGTTAGAGCACACTCTGCATGGACAGATTTTCAGACGTGCCATCGATAAAGAGCAAATTTACCAATCTGTGTGGACAGGGTTAAACCAACGAAAAAGTCAACGAAGATATCAATACACATGAAGATAAAAGCTATGAAGGAAACCAGTCAGAAACTAGATCATCAGAAATAACAAACTTAATATTTGTGAAATAATCAATAATCTCATTTCTATTTGAAGTAGGCACAGACGACGCTACCTCGAACAACGACGAAGGCTTCATGATTACACCACTCAGCTTAGAAAATTAAACACTACTAAAACATAAAATATTAGTAAAGGTCTGTAACTTCTGATTGTTGATATTTAGGATTCCAGTCGATTAGTGTATGTTGGCGTATGCCCATTTTAAGCGAATTCTCTGATATAACTCTAAGTCACAGGTCATAATATTCTTAGTATGTGGTTGGCGTTGGAGTAAAGAACGCGGGTTTTATCCGATTTGGAATTCATCAGCTAGATGCACCTGCACCTCAGTGTTAATGTCCATAATAAGACTCGAACAAAGTACCTTTTACGTCAAACTCCGCCATGTTATCTACTGAGCTAAGGTATTTTAGCATGATATTTACTGGATTAACGTCTATGAGGAACGAATTTAGTAATGGTAAAAGAATAGTATGCCGTAGGTGTGTCCCAACTTTTGAAGATTTAGTGTTACAAAAAGTCAACCGAAAATACTTAGACTACACCATTTGCAATTACTTAGTCGAAACAAAAATATTTGGAAAAGGGTTAATAATCATAGAAGATACAACTGTACAACACAATACCCTTCAAAATCATAGTGATAACACTTAAATACTGGATTAAGTGTTTACTAAATAATTTACATTTTACGCTTCCATCTTTTAAAATAAAGTGAAGTATTCACTTTTGAGTAGCTAAATGTTCACCTATTTGGATGAGAAACGTAAGTTCATTAAAATTAACAACAAATGTTATAAAAATCTAAAATAAATTGTAAGAACAATTAAACTAGTGCTAACTGATATGTATATACATATATTAGTGATTTACCTTCAAATATCGTGCTGTTAGTATATCTAGACCATTGTCAAAACGTGTACCGAGATTAAATGCAACATCAAGGATACGATAAGCAATAGACAATTCGGTTTCCCCTTCACAACAATCAATGGACAACTGACAGTTGTAACTTGGAAATAAACAAAGAAATCACAGTAATATAAAAAAAATAAAAAGTTTATTGACACAAACTAAAATTGAAATTCGGCAATATTTTAGTAATATTCAAACAATTGTAATTAAAAATTAAACACATAAAACACTTGTCTATTCAATGAAGTGTGGTATTAATTTGTTGATGAAAGCATCCAAAAAGTGAGGTAAGTTCCCATGGATGAAAACAAACATGAAGCAAGTGTACTATCATCAATGGGGAACATTTTGAAAAGATATATAATTAATTTATTGAACAATTTGTGAAACAGTATCTATAACCCCAGCTAGAGTATTTATTGGAGAGACTACGTATGAATTAACCTGTGTACTCGAAGTAATATAATTAAAACATTTGGTAACAGGATACATAACAAAGTTTTTCAACAACCATAACAGCCAACAATGACGAAAAAAGGCAAATATAGATAGTAAAAGATTTTAAATTTATACACTATAATGAACAAACCAATGTATGATAAGTTTTTACTGAGAACAGATGGATTGTAGCTAGAAGTGGAATCCAGAAAGAGCATCTCATCCTACCAGATACTAGATTCGAGTCCCAATGTAAAACTTAACAATAGGATAGATGTACCATTCAGCCCTAAATTAGACAAAACGTTTTATTTTTAATTTTACCACAAGCCATTCAGAATGGACATATGGGAACAAAGTTGATCTAAATTTAATCTTTAATATCAGCAGTGCGATTATCCAAGCACTTACTAATAGTGACATTTCCCTTTGTTTATTAATTTCAGTATTGTAAAGATGTATTCAGTGTTTTACTGTTTTTGAATTCATGATAAGCTGCCTGATTGAACATGTTTATAACAGAAGGTTCATTGAGATAAGCTTATGAGTAGTTCATGAATGAAAGCCATTAGAAAACAAGTTAATTTTCATCAAAGTAATTGGTGAGAGTTCTGAGAACAGTTCAATTTTTAGAGAACACTATGCATTAAGGAAGGCATAATTTGAAGATAAAACACAGAGGAACTCACAATGCAATGAAAAACTCGTAATTAACAAAATAGTCTAAGTGGATAATCTGTTGTGAGGCAATCAGTCAGTCGTTTAAAAACACAAGCACCGATTGAAGTTGACAAACAAAAATCAATATATTGATATGACCTCACCTCACATGGATGCGAAAAGAAAAACTTTTCAAGAGTGGGAAGTGATAGGCAGGGTAGTTTCATATAGATCATATGCTCTCCTAAAGTCGCATGGTAGGTTAAAAAAAGTCCAAGTTTGGGCATGCTATTAAGAGCAAGCGAATTACTCGGTTAGATAAGTGTACTCTCCATATATCTATGTCCAGATCGATTCAGTAATATATATATATATATATATATATATATATATATATATATATACGCATGATTTATGTACATATTTATCCAACATCCGGTTTCAAGCTCCATACGCATCCCTAATCTTCCCACATTGCTGGTTGAGTCAAAAGTTAGAAAACATATGTACTGTGATTGAATTAGACTAGGTGATCATAACGCATGTCTTGGTTTCGATGTCTCTCACCTCATTTAAACCAATGATGACCAACGTACCACATTCAGAAGTTGATGGCATGAGTAAAACATGTTACCTATCACTATAGATCACGTTTCAATGTCAAAGAAGAATATGTTGTCTGTGCCACAGGTGACATGAAGAAGATAACTATATGGCGGCGGATATTTCCCCAGCCATTCAGTAAAGAAGGTTGACGAAACTTCCACGATACGCAAATTAGTCTTCCATAAACTCACTAATATATAATGATGAATGGGCGAAAAGAACATTTGTAAAATATAGAATATTAAATACGAAAAAGGGAAAGAAAACACTGATTTGCAGTCGGACCAATGAAAAGCTTCGGTATGTAGGAATGACTCAATAGTTAAATGAATTTTTCAATATATACAAAAATAAATTTGGTCTTAGATAACTTATAAACGTAGAAAAAAGAAAATATTAGAAGAGCACTTACACGTCTCGCAAAAGTTTAATAGTATCCAACTGTTTTGCTAATTTTCTCAATTCAAAAAAAGGATCAACCTCAGGATTACGACTAGCTATACCAGAAAGGTATAAATCAGCTACACTGCCAATATTAAGATAATATTCTTCATTGTTTGATTCTGAAATATTTACAGATTCTACAAACTTATTAATCCATGATATCGCTGTAGAAGGCCATGAAAAAGGACATTTAATTTCCTCTCTTGTATATGAACATTGGAGTTTGAAGTGAATGAACAAGCTTCTAGTTCTCTAACGCGTTGAATTAAATATTTAGCTAACATGGGCTAGTTCAAAAAAATATAAACCGTTGATAAAGTCTCTATTTTAATTAGAAAATTAAACCAGAATAAGTCATTATTATTATTATTATCATCATTAATGGCTTTACTTAATATTACATTTCTGGCACATTATAGAATTCTAAGCAAAAGGTATTTCAACTAATCTTTTGCAAAAAATGTGAAAGAAACTGATGACTGAGTACATAAGTTAAGTACATAAACTACTTGGAATTAAATGAAATGTTTTTTAAGATTTGAAATTGTACAAGATTTTCAATTTGAAACATGTTTAAAAATACAAGTTATTGATTAGATTAACTCTAACAACCTGTTAAGCAAATAGTATATTTGCTAGATAAGGTATTGTAGAGCTTTTATGTCATTGTTTTCATGCATGAATTCAAATGAATTGACATCTCGTTCTACCAGAAGATATGAATGAAGTGGACGGTTAGTATCTGATATGATAGCACCTACCAGAAGTTTGCATGACCTTAGATATCTATTCACAACCAAATTAGAAAAGTGAATTGTAGATTGATATAAGATGATTTTCCAACATTTAGTTTTAATGAACTAGACAGAATGTACAATATTATTGAAAGTTAAAATCGTAATATATTACTAGGACAATTTTCTAAATGAAAAATAGCTACCCATTTTAGATACTTATTAGAATTTTTGAATACAGCAAAAGTAAGAAACAAAATAAAAATCCTACGGTAACAAATTGTAAATATATTTAGTAGACTTTATATCAGTCAGTCAGTTAGCTACAACGTAGGACCAGGCACATATATGCATCGGTCCAAGTTGCCATACCTCATTAACACAACAAGATGGACACCGGATTCATAAAAGTAGTTAATTCAGAGGTGGTAACATATAAGAGAAATATTGCAATGAGGATATAGTACAGGAAGAAAGAATTAGTTCGTAGAAAGAAAGATATGAAGTGATTTTAAACTCTCAGTTTAAGGGAAGACAGAGAGTGTATACACCGAGGCCATTGTGATCGATTCTGAGCCATGTCACCCAGAGTCTCCAACCATTGGTTACGATAGTCACGCGGACCCCAACCAAGTAGTCTGCATCTACCAACATGGTTCAGACTAGAAGTTAGTGACTTCAAGCACTGATGCCACGTTTTGGTTTGGCCTCCCCTAACTTTCTTCCAACCATCTCCAACACCGGTTAGCATTGCACGTCGTGGTAATCGGTGTTCAGGCGTACGCAACACGTGACCCAACCATCTCAGTCGATGAAGATTCACAATCTCATCAACTGATTTACCATCATTCCCTAATACCCTGCATCTAACCTCACTATTACTAATAGACTTTGTATATCACATATGAATATCTTTTTACCTTAAATAGTAAACTGATTAAGCTGTCTCTACTGGTTAGGAAATGAAACGATACAGAGGTTTACAAACGGATTATCGATTAAAATGAGCATAGTTATATGTTACAAAAATAAACATACTAAAGTTTCTGGCAACTGTCTGATAACAACAGGAAGTAATTCATTACGTATCCACTTTTGAATAGCCTCTTCAGACTCCAAAAGTTCTAATTCGTTTGATCGACACGGTGAACTCACGTTATCATCACAAGAGTATTCAGATACAATACAGGTTAGAGGTCGTTTAGATAGCAAGTTAAACAAAAGCTCTAGGGTTTCCCATGTTAAAAACTGTGATAATTCACCCTATAAATGAAAAATTGTTTTGTTGATAAAAAGATATCCGTAACTGCTCAGTTTACTAACATATTCAAAAACCTTTATTGTGCAATGATAATAAAGTGCTGAATATTTTATTGCATTTCTAAAAGCCAATCATTTCAAACCATTTGATGTTGTGCATACACTTAGAGTTTTTGTTACACACCACCTTTCTATTCATCACTCTGACCCAGGAGGTGGACGAACCCAAAGCCATTGCCAAAAAGGCTTTGGCTCGTTTCACGAGTACAAAAAATCACTGTTGTCGCTATTGCGTTTCCTCAATGACCTCAGTTTCCAACGTGTAGTTGCGCAACATTTTGTGCTTACAATTATAAGTTCATTTTCTTCATTGTCCTTTTTTGAGCTACATACATTTTATTCTTATAATCAATCCTTCACGTAATTGTTCGGACGCAAATTTAAGTAAAACTGTTTACGAACTTGTCTCCGTATGTCTTTAAAATTTTCCCACCTAGAATTTCCATGCTATTTAGCACATAGACAATCGACAATTTGAAATTTTCTGGTAAATATTTCACATCTATTGTAATTTAATTGTTCTTTTTGCTTTGGTCAAACAAAGTTTATTTTTGATCCTCGAGCGCCAGTTATCTTTGATGTCTAAGGTTTAAATAGTACGGGAGTATAGTTCTATGATTTAGGCTAGGAAATCAATTAAGAATACCTATATTCACACCCTGTCCCATCTACGTCAGACTAGGAAGGAACTATGTCTGTTACAACAGGTTTAATTTGAAGTTAAAAATTAACGAAAAGTGGTCGTATTGTACGAAGTGGCTTGTGTAATGTATAAAAGGCATACATTATGAGTAAAGAAGGTTTGTGGAGATCATTGGACTTTTTAGCCTGCATCAAAGACTGACTGTAGCTAGACAACCATTGAAATCCAGGAAGCACTGAACAACTGTCTCATCCTAATATGGCAAATAATATGGTAATCTAACTTTAGAGGAATGTGTTGGACATTTAGAAAAGCATTTACTCAACAAAAAAACCCAAGTAGATAAACTATAAGAAGATTTTTACAAACTTCAAAAATTATCTGGTTGTAATAAATTGTAACGGAAAGAAACAACCTTTATTAATTGGCTTCTTTCGACAATTCTTAAACAATTTCGGAGATTGTCTAAATTAACACGTTACAACGCTTTAATAGTAATTATCAGTTTTATATCGATTAAAATAATTATATGCTATGGACATAGTCACTGTTGCTGAATACAATTTACAATGCATTAATTAATACAACGAAGATACATTAGATATAAAATAACGAACTTCCTTCTAAAAAACTTATTGGATGCAAGAATATACTGAAAACCAATGAATAAAGTTTACTTTGAATTAATTTGTGAATTCTAAGATCGATTTCTTCGTCAAGTATTATTTGCAAACTCCTAATCCCTAAAATCTAACATTAGATGACTGTTACAACTAGCTATCTGCATAATTTAAATATTAAGGTTAATAATGAGAAGATATCTCGTTTCTTTTTAGTGTAATAAGTGAAAACATTTTTCCGTATTCTTTGTACTTATATGTCGAATACTATTGAGCAATCTGATAACCTATTAGTCGGTTGCAACTTAGTAAATATGTGCAGCGGTCCAAGTCGCCAAAATACATCAGCACAGTAATATGCCAACGTAGTATAGATAGTACTTGTGCCAGTCGATATAACATAGCAACTGGTCGGAGCATTTTCACTAAAATAAAAAGCTGTGTATGTTCGGTAGAAATTCGGAAGTAGAAACAAATGAAAGTATTTGAAGAATAAGTTGTTATCGCTTCACTTTACGTAAATACAGTTTACGAATTTGTGTGTATTACACTACTAAATAGTAATAAGTAGCTCGAGTTATATTTTCAAATTTTATAACTTGGGAATTTTTTGAATATGTTGGATAAATACACCACCTACTGCCGATAAACTCGTACACTGAACCAATTAAACATCGGCTAAATGATAAGTGTACGTGAGTGGTGAAGAAATTGAGCTGTTTTAGGGATGTTTACTATGACTGCTGGGTTAAGGTATTCATACATATGCTCTGTTCACTAAGTACGGCGCGATATAGACTAGTAAATTCTAGTTCACATTACTCAGATATTTTTTTAACATGAAACAGATACAACAAAAGAACGAACTGACTTTATAGAGGATCCAAAATAGAAATGCTTGACTTGGATCAGATGCTTTATTTCCAGCAGATGGTGAATTAGAAAGAAAGAGACGAGCAAATATAGTATAAACATTCGCATCGCGAAATTCAATCCAATTTTCTGGGCTAAAACAAAAAAGCAGATTTATGCTGAAGGCAAGTCAAGAAAATCAAGTGAGTATAATGAGTTTGAATACTTCAAATTAAACACGATTTTTACAAAAAATTTCCCACGGGAGAAAGTTTTCTGCATTGGGTATCAGTAGAAACTAATAAAACTTATGGTTAAAAGTAATTTTTGGGGGAAAATCTAGCTGCACATTTTCGAACACTCCGAATAACAAATACCTTGAGAAGTCTTTTCAGAAGAGTTGACTGATTGAATACTATACTTACCTCGATAATTCAAGAATATATTGCTGACAGATTAAGCAGCCTATTTGACAGAAAACAGTACAATTTATTCAGAAGTACATGGAAATACCTATTGAGTGCAACATTTTGACAATAACACAAAGCGCTTAATATGCTAAGAATACTCGATCTCTTTAGGCATCTTAGAAAACAAAACTGACTCGCGATCTTGATAATCAGCGTAATACACTGTAATGAATAGTATATATTGATTATGCTGTTAGTGGCACACCTCATATGAAGAATCTGAGACTACCGATGAATGTTGTACTCTAGGAACAAAAAATGCAGATACAACGGTATCCCAAGTTTCGACTGTTTATATACACCTAATTGATTATTGACTTTTGATCCTGTAACCAGTTCACAATTCTCGTTAGAACTCGCCTGGCTTGAATATTAAAAAAACTTATCATTCAGACTCTCCAACTAAGTCTTCATTCGCTTGGTATCTATTAACCATTCCTTCGTTTAAAAACTGCAATGTAACACGCGATCACTAAAGTGTGAGGAAAAACAAGGAATTCTTCTTGATAAATTGAATTACAAAATCAGTTTAAAGACGATTGGTGGATACGATACGAAGCGGGGAGAATGTGAAGAAACATTAAAAGCATTCTATCGATAGTATTTACTTAAAACTCTAATTAGGCCAATGATTTTCAAAACTATACAGATATAACTAGTGTCTTAGCAGCTTTCCACATGAAATCCTTTCTTTCGATAAGCACTCAACAAATCAATGACGAGAATCTTAGTGAGATAACACTTGGTCACACACTCATCTTAAAATTTAAATGACATGAAAACTAATTTTTTTCTCAAAGGTAAAATCAATAACCTGTTACTCTTTCAGACGGTACCATTGATCAGTTATATCTTAGATCTGCGCACCTACGAGATCGGAGGAATTATCAAAGACTATCAACCTATGTCAAACTCCACTTGGCAGCTGAAATTTACAATATCTGGAAACTTAGAGAACATGTGGCATTTACCAGCCTGAAGATAGTTTCGCAACTTGAAGATCTGATTGATACACAATGGATTAAATTCTGTTTCATAATAATCCTATTGGTCACTACCTTGTTAGCAATATTACAGCAGGTGTGAAAATAAGGATCAGCTTTTTATTTAAGTACATTTGATAGTCAATCAAACAAACTAAAGGAATTGTATAATTTTAGATAAACGTGCTAATATGAGCCAATAAGTAATAAACTTATATAACCAGGAGAAAAATTAAACCTAATAGTTAGGGAGTAATTCTATTAGAGTGACTGACTTATATTTGTTATTATCTTTTAAGTTGTTTATTTGTTAAGTGACTCCTAAAAACATTCATTCTTGTACTGAATATTCTGTTTATAAGTGTCGTATTTTATCAGAAGAAAAACCTATTCTAATTGACATTTCTTTCGTCTTCTGAAATCAGTACGACTACAGGCATACACCAGTAATTCAGTTTTGTGGGCAGTGATCACTCAAAAAGTTTGTATCAACCAATAAGTGTATTTTATCCATTAATTTAACAATCCTTAAATGTCTTTGCATTGCAAATTACACAACTATAATTCAAAACACGAAAATTCATTGACCGAGACTGAGGTAAAAAATTTCCGAATTTGAACTATTTGATATTTTTCTAATAATGGAAGTAAAATACACCAACCTCAGTTTAGTTATGTAAGATTAGAAGATTAAATTTAGACGTACAATCAAATATCTGAAAGAAATTAAGTGAGAACAAGAACATATAAACTCTGAAATTTGTTAGGGAGTAGCGTTAGTATCCAACATCACACAGCTTTCCTAATTTAACCATTACATTAACTATCTATATAATAAAGTTAATCATGAACACTTCTAAAAAATTGGAAAGAATATTAAATACTCAAAACGACTGATCAGTTTTACAATGAACAATTTAGCTCATTTGGTAATTTTTTCAAAAACTTACGTATAACTATCAGAGCCATAAATCATTAAAAATGCCTTTAGACGTTTCAGTAAAATAAGTACCTAAAAGCATGTTCAAATAGACATATAAAGTATATCTTATCAAATAAAATGAAACAAAAGTGAGTTCGAGTTAAATGCAAGTTTAGAATGAGAACCAATGTAGGGAACAATCATTGAAACATGAAGATCCATAACTAAATACCGTTACAGTTGGTTCAACATGAACGGTGGTTAATCAGTCAAAAACTGTGTAGGATATGCAACACACTGAGAAAAACGAACCTGTGCTTGATTGATCAGCTTAAATTATTTTATAATTTAACCACAGGCATTGAGATAACTTAAATGTGCCAGACTTTTGCTTAGACTTTAAGATATCATCAAAATGATGGGGTCTGATGAATCATGAAATAAAGAGATTTACTAATAGGTAGTACAGACAATCAATACCTAAAGATAACTATTTATCAACAAAGTTTATTATATACACTGTCTGTATAAAAGGGAGACATAGAGTTTTGACACAAATTTGCACGTATTTTTTAAATGTTACCAACGAAGAAAAAGGATTAAAGGAATTTCAGCACAAAAATCAACAATCATGAGGCCACTAAATTTAAAAGGTCTATAGTATTACACTTACAACTATTGACTATGCTTTACCTTATTACTTAGTTGGGAATGTATTTTGTCTCTCAGGTGCTAAATATCGAGTCATTTTCTGAAATTGTGAATATTGTGGTGTTATTAACTGGTTCAGCAAGACTACTCAAAAACGATGTAAAGCCTTGTAAATACCATGTAACTGACATTCCCAGGATGCAAGACAACAAGGTGTACACTTTCTCATTAGATACGCAATTAACAGTAGAACAATTGAGTTATGTCCCGACAAGAATAATGAATGGTAACTTTTTGGATCCATTTATGGACCAATACTAAACGTATATTTCTATCGTATAATTATTAAGTAACTAAACTATACATATTCAAATTCCTCTTACTACAAGCTTTATTTTGACCCATAAACTATTATTATACGTTTTACCATTCTTGAGTTATACCCCGTATATTAATTACTACCTCCCTCATTCACAGCCACATCTGGCTAATTCTTGTACAAATGTTGTTCCATATTTTATTGGTACGTTGTGGTCTGTTTGATTGATATATAAACTCAGTACGTTTGAAATATGATGATTCATATCGCAGAGACTGAGACTTATGTTCTGGACTTAACTGGCTGGGCTATGCGGAAAGCAGGACCAATCAGGTTTCTAGGCTGCTCGCACGTGTTTTACGCGTCATTGGTCCGATTGATAAGTCACTGCTTTCTAATCGGCGGTCACAAGTTATGACAAAGTGATCTCCAGGAATTTCTCGCTTTTTAAAACAGTACAAAACAATGTCTTTGTGTAAGCTAGAAAAGCTCTGAAAGGCAGTAGGAAACCCCTCATTTAACAAGTGTTGAGGACTCACCAAAGTAATAAATATTTTGTCAGTAATAGTATGAACTGTTCCAGGGTTCCGAAGAATGTTAGATCCAAGCATAGGAAATTTTTAGTAAGTTACAATATTATTTACCAAACCAACCCACATATACACTGTCTAAGTCATTAAGAGTAACTGTAAATACATATTAGGTACATTTTTCAAATACACATTCTGGAATTATAGTTTTCTTTTTCTCCTATATAGTTAAACTTTTCAAAGTGTTCATTGATGTTCAAATCGTATCGCAGACTAAAAATGGCTAATACGCATAACTCAACACTTATTGACTACCTTAACTAAGAGTTCAGTAGATCAAGAAAACACAATTTCAACAAATAAGTATTTTTAGCCATTTCTTACTGTTTTGTCATTAAGGTGAAAATCAGTTATTAATTAGGACTCCTTAAACTACTGAGCTTATTAGATATATGGACTGAAAGATAACAGTGGTGATAACTATTAATGTTTGATGAGGAAGTAAGGAAAAACTGCATTTATTTATACTATTTTCTAATGATCGTACCATCACTTCAAAATGAAACGGATTACATGATTTTAAAAAATGGATTATTTTTATAAATTTAACTTTTTATGAATTAATTACAAATCAGAGGAATTCTAAAAACGAAAAACGACCAAAGAACAAACTAACGTCCTAAGAAGAGACAAAAGAGGTGTTAAATAACCGAAAAAATTGGGTCAAGAAATTAACATCAAAACATACTTTTGTTCCCATTTCCTCATGAGCAGTAGAAATATCTTCAGGATTATCCATAATCAGCTGAATTAACCGTATGAGAAAGGAAAAAATTTAGTAAGTACCAGGACCCACACTAAACTGATAATGACGAAACATTACTTAAATAATGTTTCTACTTACTAATGAGTAGTAGCATAATATTTTTTCAAAACATTTTAACTTGCAGATTATCTTTTTCAACGAAAATACAAAATCGTAAATAAAAACAGTTATTGCTATGTTGACAGAGCTAAGGGAAATCAAACGTATTTTGAGGAAAATCATTTCGATTAAGTTCAGTTGAAAAATATGTGGTCATTAAGTTCAATACTATCTGGCTAAAACAGTATCACAGAAGAAACATTAATATTGCACATTAAGAAACAATTAATAAATGAATTTTTAAAAACAGAGAATTCTTTCGAAGTACCATATAAAACTTCTAAGAAATATGAAACCTGAAATTTCGTTATTAACTGATTTGAACTATGTCAAGAGCGCTGATTTACATATGTGACGTGTCAGATAAGGTCGACTGGTTGGTGATTCGGGAAAAACAACCACTCGGTAATTCGTAATATTAACGACTACTTTTACATTGTAACTCTGATTAACTCAGGGTTTCACTTTATGTGAACTCCTCGTAATTGTGTTATTAAAATTACTGTCCAGCCTATTATATGGTACTTAATCGTTGGTTGGCATTGTGAATATGTGTATCATTTGATCTAGTATCGTGATATAGTGTTCCCAGCCGCTTTAACCAATCTAGTGAATAGTGTTTTTTATCTTATTACCTATCGGTATTATTACCTCGTGACACTATTGTGGTATCGTCATTTTATTCATCTGTTACATCAACATGCAAGTGAATTAGTGCAGTATTTCCTTTGATATTTTCCATTCGATTTTATCGACAGTCAACACCGGGGTTTCGCAGGTACTATAGAATGGATAATTTTACAGAAATAAAAAGCAAAGGATAGAACAATATCGATCAATTCGATATTAGATTTAATTAAAATGAACGAGCAGAAATTGTAATGAAACTGACCTTATCTTTGATAATTAAAAGTAATTTCAACTGGTCATCTGAATTTAACATAGTGATTTGCAAAACCGACGCAACGACCTCTAAATTTTTCCATAACTCCTAATTGAAAAACAAATTCAAAGAACATTGTGGGAAAAAGCCAACTCATAACACTAAAAGTCAAAACATACAAATGTTAGATTTCTTTGAAATGTATACTTTTTGTTTGGATGTATTTACAGAAGGCAACACCTATTAACCAATTACTTCCGTAGATTAATTTTCTAATTCTTAAGCTTTCATTGGTTCGATTTCTTAGTTAACTAATAATGTTTATCGGTAACAGAAAATAATGAGCACATATAAACCATGACTAGAGAAGACTTTGTTTTCACAGAAAATTCCACGTCCTTTTGGTCAATATGGATAACAGAATGAGTTATGTAAACATAGACGAACTTACAATAGTTGAAGCTCAGAATGAGTATATTAAGTAAGGTTATTAGATGATTAACGAAGCATATTTCGAAATAAATCGGAGTAATCAAACATTGAGGATTGTAAAACAAACACCAAAACAATTATAACTTATAATCAGTGAATAAAGTTGAATAAAACGTCTGAATATGTAAAATGTTTGCTTGTAAGCAAAATCAATCAGGCCAATATGTCATAAATTATAAGTAACCATTGTAAGAAAACGAGGTTATTCTTCACTATTAGAAGAACCTAATTCGAATATGCAGTGGTTTTAGTGATTGTATACCGGTGACAAATTAAGGAGTGAATTCAAAAATGATTAGATAACGGCAATCTACAACAAAGTTGCTCATATTAACTCTTAAGATAACTGCGTTATTCCAGTAGCTTTCAAATTAATCTAGACAAATGAATGTCTGCTAATTGGAAGTTACGGAAATGAAAAAATGTGACTGATCAGTTAGTTATATTATTATTTTACTAATCTAGAGTCATTAGTTACATATCACATTAAATGATCATCTACAGCTACAACCCCTCCCCCACGATTTTCAAAATTAAAAAAATTCTGAACTTGTTTTCGATCACAGGCTTTTTTAAGAAGGTTGAACGAGAATTATATTTGATAACAAACGAACTTCAGAGTAAACATGAAATGACCAACTACTTACCTCAGTTTGTTGCAAACATATAAGAAGTCTGGGATAAAGGAGATTGTTATCTTGGTCTTGCTTATGAATGGCGTTCACTAAAAATTCCACTTCGGTTGTTAATACTAATTGAAAATCCTTCATATGACAAAACAGAAAATTAACGAGTTTTAAGACACGAGGAAATCGCATAAACTGTTAATGATAAACGGTATGTTTGAAATTGTACTAAGCGTGAGTTATAGACTGAAATCGAAAATTGTAATTATGGAGAGTTGACATCTGAGCACGATAAAAGTGTAATAACATTCACTACTCGAGTTATAAATGTTTAGCGTCACATTATAAACGAGTGTTATTGTTTTAACACTGTATAATAACCGAAATTTTATTAAGAGACTTATTACCTGAATGGTTAACAAAGTTTAGAAACACTGATGAACAACTGAAATTATTATTACGGAGTTAAGGTTACCGCATATTAACAAAATAATTTAGTGATGTATCTTCATCAACCTTCGTACAACAGGATGCATAGAGCCGAGTAAGTAGTACTCTACATGAATACTGACTTGCTTTTTAAAACAGAAATTCATTTCTTTATGATGACGAAGCGAATTATGGGATACATATTCCCTATTCGAATAGTCGGCATTTTAAAAATTACCAAGCAAACAACTTACCGTATATTTACGCTTGTATAGGTTCACGTGTTATAGTATAGCATAAGTTATCATCTTTAAACAATGAAATGAAGCTGAAGAATAACCACATCTGATTTTAGATAAATTGGATACATAAATCGAAGTATCTAACGAAAACCCAACAACCATCATTCTATTAAAGTACATACGTATAATTTTATGCCGAATCGTAATGAATAATTAAGTTATACCTTCCTATTATCGGGATTATTACTTTGCAAATGCAGGAACTTTAAATGACATAAAAATGAACAGATTCGAAAACTAGAAAATAAAAGTTTGTTCTACATTTCCTGGTCATCAAATACTTCATTATGATCGATGTTGCATGGACTACATATATTTCATTCTTCACATCAGTCAATCAATTACAACGTAAAAGCTGGTACGTATATACATTGGTTTAGGTTTTCGTACCCCATTAACACAGAGAGATGAAATTGCCAGGCCAAATCCCACAATAATAAAGATAACAGTACCAGTGGTGGTTGAAAAGATTAGAAATTGAAAATACGATTCAAGAAAAAATAAATGAGTGAAATAAAAGCACAAAAAAGTCGTGAGCAATTAAGCAGCTCAGAATTCGGGGGAAGAGAGAGAATGGATGCACCTGAGCCATTGCAAATGATTTTTTACATGGAAACGATTCAGTTGTATTACTTGATATACATACTGAAGATATTTTCATAAGTACAAAGGGCGACAACAAGAATCTGGTAATTCGACTGAACTGGGTTGTAAGACTGAAGGAAAATGATACGCGCAGTCATACTGTTGTTCGTCGGTTATCATAGTGAAATTCTTGATTGCTTAATTATTTCGCATACTGACAAACTGTAACAACAACCAACAAGGAGCTGAAATATAAAATCATGATACAACCAATCTATGTTGAAATACAAATATTCCTGCAAAACACAGTAAACAAGCACCACTCAGTTGACTTTCAGGTCTATGGATTTTTAAAAACATTAGCAAGAAAAATGTTTTATACTCTTCGAAATAAGTGTTAAACATAAATATATCGGAAGAAATAAACAAACTATTAGAGTTTGAGTAAACAAAGCATCGTTTAACACAAGATCAGATTTAATTTACGTTTATGTATATAACAATCATAAACTTTGTTTTGTGATTCAAAACTAACGAAAAGTAACTTACTTCAGAGCCAAGATTGAACGTTTTCACAAGTAACCTTGCTTCTTCAAATTTTTTAGATTTTAAGAGATGCAATAACCTTTAATACAGAATGAGAAACAAAGTGTTTATACATCAATAAAAATTGTGATTACGTAATATTTCTAAATGGTGCATGAGTCAGCAAAAGGTTTACTGGAGTGATTGCATGCATATAAGTAGAAAACTAAATGGGAACCTTTTAATAATTAATTTAACTCTGCAGCATGACTTCGTGCAAACCACTAGACGCTCGTATTGCCAGAATAACTAGTTCCGAATAGGAATTACTAATTATAATTAAAACTGAAACCAAATAAGTCAATAAACCACGAAAAAAGTGTGTTTAACAAAACTAGATTGTGAAATGGGACGAAATACACTGTATAGTCACATCCTACGAACAGTGAAAATATCATGAGTTTATTTTATAGGAAACAACAGTTAATTTATGTTCATGCCATTATACATGACGAAATTTCCAACGTTAACATACTATAATAGGCTTCTACATTTAAAATGTATTTGAAAACTTTAATGGGATTAGCAATCTCAATTCCAACAAAAGTAGTTTCGATTACCGGTATCCAAACACTGAAATTTAAATAACCAAAAACTTATACCTAACATGTCATTCATCAACTCAACTAGTAACAGCTTTATATGAAATATACCTACATAATTTTTGAGTCTATCCATAACTAATTAAACTACGAAAAAAAGGTGAAAAAAATATTGGAACAGGTATATACTACCCATCCATATTGCAAAGCCTACTTATAATATAATTTCGACAGGAGAGTCAACGAAACAATATTACTAGCTAAAGTCTAAGCAATATTAGAATCGGGTTAATAACAACAAGCTTAAACAGTATATACTTACTTCTCTTTAGGATCAGTTGCTCTCAATGCGTTGATAGACAAAAAGAAGTTTTCGGTCTCCTCATTGGGACTTTTAGAGAGCAACTCTGCATACAGTACTTGAGGATCGGAAGAAATGGCTTTATAGTTGCCTACATCATAATCAGAAAGTAGCCATGAATCATTGCTGATATGCAATTGGTATATAACTTGATAGCTAGAATATGGTAAACAAAAAGTATTTGATGAGAAAGTTTCCATTCATGTTTCTAAAGATGGACGAGTAATTAATTCGTTGTTTTGTTACACACTTGACTACCCAGTTTCAATTTACTGGTATAATGTGACGAAATAATAAATATAATCGGTTTTAAAAGGATAAAATAACCCTACTACTTTAAAAATTTAGAGATTCTCAAAGTAGCTTTTTACAATATGTATTGAAAATACATTTATTTTTATTTTATCCAGACTTCAGGACTTATCGCAAATAAAATGAAAGCCATTTGGTGAATGATAACTGGTTATTTCGACAAACTTTGGTAAAGAACCTTATAAATGATGAAGATGATAGGATGAAAACAAATAGCATGGTGAAATACCATAAGTAATTCAGTTGCGCCTCAATTCTCTACAATGTATTTCCGAAAACCTTAACTAAGCACAAAGATGACCTGATGATTGTAAGAAACAGACTACTTTCAGTACTCATGGTGACTACTGAAGGTAGCCAATCTGGGTGTCTCATTGGCACCACTTTCAAATGCATTTACCAAGTACTTATCAAATACAGCTAATTACGTATACACGATTCAAGTGAGTTAAATTTCGAAATTAACTCACCTATCTCATAAGTTAAGGAAAACAATATAATAGTTCAAGAAAGAAATTATCAATTATAGTTGCAATATGGGATACAAGACAAATATATATTGACTGACAATAACACACTTCTTGACTGCATTGTCCGGTAAAAGTAGAAAACAATGAATAAGAAGATAAAATGAGCAAGATGAATTCTACGTTTAGAAAAGGCGATTAAACGACATAATATCATCGCAACTTGTTTGCACTTGTATGACTAAAGACTGCTGATCAGCTACAGTTACTGCACTTTTTACTACAAATTTTCACTATACGCGAACAGTTTTTTCAAAGATAAAACGGGCTAACCACCATGTATTTGGGCTGGATTTTTAATTTAATGAGCAGTCCGTCAAATTTTTTGATGGCAAGACTATTTTGTTAGTATTACAGGTTACCCTTGCATCCATATCTATACAAAAGTAAACATTTTTATAGTACTTGTCACAAAAGTTAGTTTTATTTTGTACTAATATTTAAATTATCTTGATGTAGATAAGTCAATATATCAACGAAAAATGGAGCAGCATAATGATCAAATAAACTACATCGCAATATTATGCACATTTAGTTTTCTACAATTAGGAAGTCAAAATGACTGTGTTTGAAGAAAACGAAGTAAAGGCTGTAGCATTAGAACTATCCCACAATTGTAAGAGGGGAAAGTGTAGGTTAATTAAGCTCAAGACGAACATCGAATTAAATGAATGTTAATAAATGGTTGCGCAAGATCATGGATCGATCGAAGTTAGACATCAAAACCGTTGAATGCCGGTCCAGTGGTCTAGAGGTTGAACGTTCGCGCGCCAGACGGAAGGTCCTGGGCTTGAGTCCTGCGTGTGGAATCGTGGATGTGCACCGTTGAGGAGTTGCATACTAGAACGAAATGGCCATACAGTGCTTTCAGGTTTTCAGTGGTCTAGCTTAGATAGACCCATGAATCCAACAATTAGAATTATTACAATCTCCACAGATCCTCATTCTGACAATTTTAATATTTAGTAAATACTGATAAACATTGGTGACTTGTTGATTAACGCGCTCAACTTTAAACCACTAGATCACAGGTTTAAATTTCTCTGCAGTTTGGTTTGAGCAGTTGAATAGAAACACTGGCCTTTACAAAAAATATGGCTTGAAGCCGAGTACACGAAATCGCAAATGCTAAGCGAAATACGGTAAGCACATATGCATGTTACTAATTTTATTAGTTTAAATTTTTATGAAACTCAATTTTAAGTTGTGAAAACACCTAAAATCAAGTACTATTTTGAAAAGTTAGTTGGCGTTAATATTGTAGTGACTCACATTTATCACGAGAACACGACTGGTTTAATAGAAACAATTATTCTTATAACCAACTGTACCAGTGCTTGTTTTAATGTGCTTTTGTTTGACTGTGCTAATGACAGCTATTTTGTGCTTCCATTCTTTTACTTACACTTCGATTGTAACTTCGCGCGAATTCGGTTACCTTCTGTAACCAAGGTTGTATCCTGGCACGATCTCGGTATCCTTTCGATGCCACGAGATCGCCAGCAAATATACACCTCGACTTGGTCCATTAACTGCCTTCTGATATTTGGCTTCTCGGGATTTTATGGATCTATTTGGTTACGTCCAACCCTCGCCTTCTGATTTATCTGGCACGTGTTTCTTGGTAGCGGTGTTCATAGTTAATCTCAACTCGACGCCACGCTACATTGGTGACCCGTATTTTGGAACACGCCTCAACTTCTGATCAAATCTTCCAAAGAAGCCAATTCGGTGAGTCTATGATTTATCTATCCACGTCTGTCGTATATTTTCATATTTTTTAATATATAATATACTCGACATGACGGATAACGATAAGAATAGTATTAATATAATAGACTCACATGTATGTGTACCGAATCCTTGTTACTTTTTATTCGCGTGACGATGAATTCCACGCTTTATTCGAGAAAGTTTCCCCTATTAACTATTCTCCTCGCTGACCCGGCTGCTTGGTACGGAATGCATACGCATAAGCATATCTGTCTACCACCCAGCACCAAATGGTTAAGTAAACGGTTTCACTGCCAACTTAAAAGTGCTATACGAGCACACGAAAACGGCAACTGGCACGAAACCTTACCGCTCGTTCTTTTAGGGATCACAACGAGCTTGAAGGCAGATATACAATGTTCCGCCGCTGAACTGGTATTCGGCACGACATTGCGTCTGCCCGGAGAATTCTTCACACCACGGAGCAGACCTAATTTCGGTAAATCAGACTACGTCCATCGACTGTCTGCATTTATGCGAACGCTGTCTCCGGTGTCAACTCGAATACAACATCGACAGGTCGCTCTCCCTCGAGAGTTATCTACCTGTTCACATGTTTTCATACGAGTAGATTCGGTACGCAAACCTTGGCAACAACCTTACGAAGGCCCTTTTCACGTGATCGCTCGTCACGAAAAGACCTTCAAGGTTGATCGATATGGACGCGTCGAGATCGTCAGCATTGATCGTCTCAAACCAGCACACGTCGATGACAGTGCCCTATCTGATAACCTGAGATTCAATGCTAGACCTAGCAAACCTACTAGCGGGATCCTCAAACCATCTTCAGGTCCCACGCTAGATACATCTGAGACCTCATTCTCACGTCCCAGTCAACAGCACGCGTCATCTGCACCGTCTACGGATGAGACGACAGTCTCACGTCCAGATCAGCAGACCACGCCGCCCTTGACTTCGGATGAGATTGCAGGCTCACGCGACGCGAACGAGACTACCGTCTCACGTTCCGGTCGCCGAGTACGGTTACCCGTACGCTTCCGCGACTAGCCGCACAGTTAACAAACGATACGGTGTAGGATTATTCCTATACTACACGCATGCTACACTCTTCTCTTTTTTGATTTTCTTTTTGTTTCCTGAGCCCACGCCTTCGACCATCTCCGTTTGGTTCCGTCGACTTCAGTCAACTTTGGCGAAAGCTGGCCTGATCACCCACGCTCTTGTCAACGTACTCAGTCGATATATTGGTTTCGAATGCTTGGCATACGCTTGGTCTCGAACTTGGTCGTTATGGTCGCTTCTGGTCTTTTGGCTCAACGTGGTTTCGTCCTTCGTCTGCAGCGTTTCTGGTCCGCACCCTACGAACGCCCTCTTCAGATTCTGGATACAAACCACTCTCGTGTAGCATGCCAACTCAAGCAACAAATACAGCACATCGCTCCTGGTACCGTTCTCCGAAAACGACCTTCGTTGGCAACTCGACGATCAACGATCGCTTTCCTGTTCGCCAATTCTTCCGTCCTACAATCGCTCGTCAGCCGATCAGTCCCACGATTCAAACCGCTATTTATCGAAAGTGTAAACCCTTTCTAGCGGGGGGCTCCTGTAGTGACTCACATTTATCACGAGAACACGACTGGTTTAATAAAAACAATTATTATTATAACCAACTGTACCAGTGTTTGTTTTAATGTGCTTTTGTTTGACTGTGCTAATGACAGCTATTTTGTGCTTCCATTCTTTTACTTACACTTCGATTGTAACTTCGCGCGAATTCGGTTACCTTCTGTAACCAAGGTTGTATCCTGGCACGATCTCGGTATCCTTTCGATGCCACGAGATCGCCAGCAAATATACACCTCGACTTGGTCCATTAACTGCCTTCTGATATTTGGCTTCTCGGAGATTTTATGGATCTATTTGGTTACGTCCAACCCTCGCCTTCTGATTTATCTGGCACGTGTTTCTTGGTAGCGGTGTTCATAGTTAATCTCAACTCGACGCCACGCTACAATATAATCATATAATTTGATGCAATATATCGTTCTAACTTACCGTCTTTCTCAATCAGGTGCCCAAAAAGATTATTCAAACGTATGATATGATGTCATATATGACCCAAATATTTACGAATAGACTGTTCTATGAATGATTACGATCTATTAATATTTTTAATAACCTAGAAATAACATATAGTAGCTACGCTCCAGTGACTATCCTGAATGTTAAAATAATCATATTGAATCGAGGGTAATATACTATGATCAAATCCATGAGGTCTGTAGCCTAACCAGTTTTATTCCTGCTTTTAACAACATACCTTTTAAAAAATCCAGATATAATGGTCAGGACAGATTAGCTTACGTGTAAATGACATAGACATAAATATTTAGTAACACTGGAAAACACGGAAAGTCACTAACCTGGGGAACAATACAAGTTCGAGCAGTTTGGTAAGACCAGAAGGCGAGGGCTGATCATTTTCGTCGAGATCCCTTAAAATAACAATCGTTATTTCATGAAAACCTGGACATTCATCATTGCAACGACTGTACTTTCATTGGTTTTGGGACAAATATAAAAGTCATGAACTTTGGGAAACTGACTGAGGCAACCTAAGCATACACTTGCGAATATATTAAACAGAAATAATTGACCCTGTCAAGTAAAAAGTGGTTTACATTACGATTTTCAACAAGAAATTAGGAAAGAACTTTGAGGAATAAATATATGTGAATTGACCAATCAATAAAATAGTGCTCATCAGACGCCTCTTTTTAAACACAAATACACATTTCATGGAGCAAATTAAGCTGATAAACACTGGGTATATGTATAGATTCCAAACATGTAGTGATTCTGATAATAATAACTACTTGAGGATTATGCTATGATTACTTTACGGATCTAACCTAATTATAAGTGCTGTGAAAGAATTTATATACGATGAGAATACTCAACTTTCAAGTTTTGATACCCAATAAACGCCCATGTCCACTATTTCTCTGAGGTAATATGACAGAGAAATTACTATGACCATCTATCCCAAAGACTAGCAAACCAGGAAATGGAAGTAAATACGCACGATCTGCATACCTTTAAATATTAGATGTGAAGAATGAAATTAAATGCACTAGACACTCTAAAGAAAGGACTATTTTAAGTAGTTATGTAGGGCTGATGCACTCACTAGAAACATTCAGGACTGGTGTATCAGTGTTCGAAAACGAAACTAAAGCATTCCCTGATACAAACAATAACAAGGTAATAAACGCGATATTTGAGAATAAAAGTGTCTAATGATCCCACACACTTCAAAAATACGTTATACATTTTAATTTTGACCACTAAAAGCTGTAACATTATCTAACGCAACCAAATTAGTGGCAAATACACTAAGCTGTCTGGTTTACACGTCACCTGGAGGAAAATTAGCTTCAAAAACACACGTGTATAATTTGTTAAATCTTACCAAGAATCCGAGGCACTAAATAAAATCCTCTCGGTAAGAAATTACTAGGAAGCAATCGAATATAATGTACGAACTTAGAATGGTTTTAATATCATTAGACCTACCGAGTAGGAAAGTGCCAGACAATAAATTGTGTCACAAATTAGTGAAACTTTTTGGAAAGATATGCCTTCATCAATGACTGAGAACGGATCAAAGAGATTTTGAACAATGAATTGACCAGAATCTTTTACGCAGGTTGTAACAAAGCCCGGAGTTTTCTTGGAGTAGAGGAATAATCAAAGTAACCTACCAGTTGAAGATTCCAAACTACTGCAGGATCTATATGGCAACAAAAGAACATTTTCCCTGTTATAAATACACTTTCAGGGCTACTGAAACGGGTTTTAAGTTCTTCAAAGTTCCGTTCAACAAGTTCTACGGTAAACAAAAAAATAGGGTTAGTAGACCAATTTTCGCTTCTAATGTATCTTACCTGAATGTAGCTGTACGGAGTTAATATCTCTCCATAACAACAACGAATCCTCAGATCTAAGAAAAAGATCAAAACTAACTGAAAAAGTCAATATCAGTGAAAGGTTACCTGCTGCTGTTGCCACCAGTTGCAATTCATGAATTTTTCCTAAGTGAGTCTGAAAACATATTTTTGTATTCAATGTTTACCAAGGAGAATGCAAGTTCGTGCCTTTCGGGAAGATAGACGTTTAATAAGCCATGCTCATCTAGAAAGAAAAAGAACACAACATTGGCCGGCGAACACACCTTCAAAATGTTGCAATCTAAAGAGTAATTTATAGTACGTCTCAAGTACCATGTTCATAAGAATCGATCACTTTGAAATCACAGTCAAAAATGAAAAACGTCTTGCTTATGACTACAACTTTCTTATCATACCGCTCAATGAACCCAACTCTGCAAGAAGCTAACTATAAGTAATTTAAAATGAGAGAACTAAGGTAAAAATACGTCTTTGTGTGCAGCGAGTACCACTTTCTCAACTACATCGAAAATATCACACATCGCAATGAATTTAAAAAGTCAACACAAGCTGACTTAAACTTTATTTGATGTGATTAAAGCGCTTCAATTTTGCTGGGCAGGAACAACAACTAGTTCATTCTCCGAAAATTACGTTTTAGAAAAGCAGTGACGTCGTAAATTTTCATTTGATCGTTCAGTCTTCAGTAATAAGGATAGTAGGTTGGTGAACCTGTGTTTATCTTAACAATTTGCTTTCCAGTGAAGGTTCAGCTTCTCCTTAAAAATGTTGACTGGTGGGGATGATGCCACTTGTTCAGGTAATACATTTCAGATACTGACTACCCTATAAAAAAACAGGACCCCACTTCAAGTTTACTGAATCGCGGTTTTCGAACCCTCTAGAGTACCGTATCCAAGCAACTGGCCCATGTCTGATTAAAGATACTGACTCACTTAAGCGTGTTCAGAGTGTGGGAACAAAATTAGCGAATGATCTTTCTAATTTCGCTTACGACGAGCGCTTAAAACGCTCGAATCTGTTCCCCTTGTTGTATCGTAGGTCTCAAGGTGACTTTATATTGGCATTTTGTATCTTTAATTAAGACTTGGGTCTTAATATGTTCTATCTTTATGCTCCCTCCAGCACTAACAATCTCCGACGTAATAGCAAGAAGGCTAAGAAGCGGCGATCTAATAAACTTAAAGTACGTTCTGCTTTTCACTTTGACTGGTCTATGACTGGAACGCCATAGCTGAACAAGTGGCATCAGCTCCGTCAGTCAGCATTTTCAAGGAGAAGCCAGACCCCCACGGGAAAACAAACTGCAAGGATTAAGGCAGGTCCGTCAACCTATCGTCCTTATTTCGGAAGGCTGATATGGCCCCAAAGATTATTATTGCCAGAGGGAGCAAAAAGATATATGAAAAACGGGATCGTAATTAAAGATACGAAATGCCAATATAAGGTCATCTTGAGCTCTACAATACGATAAGGGGAAAATGTTTAAGGGTTTTAAGAGCTCTTCGTAATGGAGTTTGGGAAGACTACTAATTTTGTATCCCACGCACTAAATATACTCATGTGATTTAGTATCCTTAATACGACACATACCCGATGCATGGATACGTAGGTGACATATAAAACTCGAAACATCTCTTCGTCAAAGCATTTGGATTCTCAGTAAGTGACGATAACGCACAAAAAACCGTGCCAGCTGCTGTGTTGCAGTGCATAATCGTCTTTAAGTCGTGATCTATTACCTCTAAATCTTTGTGTTCCTACATACATGGAAGAGATGTACTGTCGATACAGGTAACTGTTACAATGTCCAATGTGCATGAGCACAATTTCTTATGCAACTGGTTTCTAAACCCCAACCTCGGGCCCATCTAAATGATTCGTTTTGGTCAGCTTAGAGATCAAAGTGGTCAGCCTCAGTCCTTACTGTTCGCCAGATTTTGATATAACCTGGGAACAATGGTTTCAACGACTTAGGCAATCTCAGTAACTCATTGACATGGAGAAGGAGAAGTAGAGGGCCTAAGGTGGTGCCTTAGGGTAGGCCACTTTGGACCAATTTTCCACCCACCCTCATCCTCTATTGTCAACCAAACAACAAAGTTTATCACCCATTCCTTTACAGCACCTGTTATTCTGAAGCTCAAGAGCTTCTGTATAAGACAAAAGTGAGACGCCTTATCAAATACTTTGTTGAAGTCTATGAACATTACATCGACAGATAGACAATTATTTAGGGATGCTGTCCAATCATTGATCACAATAAATAAGTTGGTCAAGCACGAATGTCTGTTTCGAATACCGTGCTTCATGGGTTAACAGATCGTAGGATTCTATCTGACCTGGTAAGTTAACCCGAATTGTCTTTTCAAGGTAGATACGATATACCTCTGACCATCTTCAAATTTATGGCTAATTATAGCATCTTTCTAATATTTAGGGAGATGAATGTGAGAAAGAGACATGTTCAGTTGTATCGTGAATGGCCTTGAAACAATGTTCACGAGGAATCACAGCGATCGTGGACGTAACCCAACAGAAACCCGACATCTTAGCAGGTCTGCGGTTAGTGATCAATAGAAGAACAGTTTCACCAGTAGCATCTGCAGGTCTTATAGCTGGCATTTTGGTGGGACGGTTTTGACAAGTATTGATGGCAAAACCCGCAGTGTATATTTCGCCAAAATATTTTGATAAGGTCTCAGCTTTTGCCAGATCTGATTTAGACAGTATATCTGAGTTTTCGTGTGACAGTATTGAGGAATACCATTTCTAAACTTTGTTCTTCGTTTAATGTACGAAAACAATCGTTTCAGGCAGGTTTGGCTATCATATTCCAACTGTCTTTGGTAAATTGAAAGGCATCTAGATATGGTCTTCCTACAAGTATTCTGTAGTTTTCGGTATTCACACTTAGATTATTCGTGGCCTATTGATAAGAATAAGCCCTAGACGCTTTTTTGAGCTTCAGAAGCTCTCCAATTTCCTTTTTAATCCATGGAGGGCGATATGACAGCCTACGTTTCGACCATGGGATGTGCGGCGATGTTACAGACTCGAATGTGGCTTTAAAATTGTTCCATTCGTCTTCGATAGATACATTTGTGTTGGTGAACCAATCAGTTGAGACAGTACAGTCTCCGATTGCTAGAATGTTAGCCAGCTGTATATTGGAACATGACGGAGAAGATGCATAATGTGAACCATGTGTCCGAAATCTGGAGTAAAGTACGACGTGATCATATTCCAAGAACAGATATGACTTAAGATAGTCGTAAGAAGGACAACATGGACTACGGTATGTTCCTCTGATGTGATCAGTTGTACACGAAAGCGATGTCTAACATATAGTATTATGCCTCAGCCCTCACGATTTGTGATAATTTCACCTCTACCTCAGATGTAACCTCCAATGATGGGCGAACAGTCTATGTCTACGATGAGCTAAGTTTGTGTGACAATAATTATATCGGGACACCACCATTATACTTAACTCGAGCGCTTTATTTCTGAGACCGCGAGCGTTCTTGTAGCACACAATTAAGGTGTTTTGAGGATTGCTCGTTCTATCCAAACAGGTTTCGGAAGTATTGGCTTCGAGGACTCGAAAAACCTGAATTTGAAGGTTCGTTTTGCAATTAAGCTTTCACGTTTTCAATTTTGTAAAGGCATTCTTCCGTTTGGTTTGGTCGTCATGTAGCAAGTGTGGTCGGATACGAATATATAAACAACGAGTTTTCTATGCATTACTCAGTATGATGTCCCTTTTCCTCATAACTTCCGGGTATTAACTTTGAGATCCTTCGTGGTTGGGTCTCGTCTACAACCCACTAAGCGAGTCTTATGAATTTCGTAATATATACCCTAGGAACCTTCATGGGACCTCAGATTCAACCAAATTCGTGTCGTGTGAATGCCTTCTAGCAGAATCATTATTTTTTGACTCCTCCAGATTTCAAACAGTTTGACTTCTTTGAAAGTTGTGTTCACGGCTTTCGATCGTGATGTCATAACCTGACTGCCTATACCAGAGATTTATCTTTCGTTGTTTTCGTGTAGGTTGAGCATATTACTAACGACAATACCGATGAGACTAAACGTTTTCCAACGCTAGAGTCAAATGTTGTCTTACTTTGGGACTCGGTAGAGTTGTAGAACTATGGTCTACTATGATGTTAGTACTGCTCTAATAATAGACCTAATCCTAAAATTGTAGATTTGTCATGATATAACTGCCTAATCTATAAGATCTTACGTGGAAGTCACACCATCGACTACACCAACTCACTGTATCGTATCAATTACCAATACATGATGTAGAACAAGGTTAGGCTAGAGAAGGAACAATATATTTAATATGAATAGAAGATATAAGGTAACATTCGGCAGAGACCACGCCTGCATGGCCGAGCCATGCCACTCGATCAACTCCAGTCCATTCAATTCATTGCTCGCGTCTTCTTCATTGTTAGGTATTTCTCCGCGTTAAATATTGAATATCTATTTTCTGAGTAGTCTCGTGTTCACAGCTTTGTGGATTGTGTGGCTATTGTCCAATGCCACTACAGAGTAAACTGCGTCGTAGTGTGTGCCCACCAAAGACCTGTCAAATAAACGGGCGCGGTTTGTGCCTATTTTTTCTTTTCTTCCATGTTTTCGCACTATCCACCATTTCCCATTGGTCAGGTCATCTTCGTCTAGATTACTCGGGACGGTGACGCTATTATATGTGTCACCAGTTGCTACTGCAGCAACGTGACCATCAATATATAATGGTATTTCAGTCTATATTTGTTTCAAGATAGATTTGTCTGTTGCATGTTGCACGGTCGAAAGTTTGTTATTATTATTCACAAACATCTTATGGGTACATAAATGTTATGAAGAAACCATTTCGGGCTTCTTCAAAAACTGCAATAATACACAATTTTCAATAATGTTAGCATTATACTTGCCATTTTAAAAAAGAGTAATAATAATAGAATATTAATAATATTAAATCGGGTCTGTGTAATTGAGAATAATATTGAATTGAGTTTAAAGAAGGAAATGGAGAAAATAAGGAAATAGAAATAAAGGAGACGTGAAATACGCAAACAGTTTAATAGGCGTGTTAATGAACACAGAACAAGAACAAACGACTATGTGTGTATCGTCAAATTAGTAACAAGAAATAATTAAGAAGAAATAACTTATTATCGCAGTAAGATATGACACTAGAATGTTTGTGCAATTATAGTTCGGAGTGACGCTATGAAAGTCTCAATTAAATGAAAAGGATAACGAAATATCAATATGTATGAGTCGTATGTGCATAGCGAAGATAAAACGGGTCTGAGAAGTTAATTTAAGTGTAACACAAGTTATTGTCTTACTTACATACTCCATAATCTTAAGAATAATATTTATTTAGAAGGGGAAAAGAGAGAGAAAAGAAGTGAACATCCAGTGAAACGGTTCACTCATGATAAGAATAATAATTGTGTAATGAATATCGACCTCAGAAGTAAACCAGCAATTG